CTGATGACAACCACAGTGATCACCATGGAAAGACCAAGATCTACTTTTTCTTCTCCAACTCCATGCGTCCTCTAGTGAGAGACTACCCAAGTAACTGTCAAACGCTGTTAACTATACTATATACCTCTTATGGCAGCTCACCCGGGCTCCTGATTTTCCTCTTCATCTTCACAGGTTGATTCTTCCCTTTCAGATCGCCACTTATTCTCGTGGCTTTTACTGCGACTTCGTCTATCGTCCTTCCTCCCCATTTCCGAATGAAAATCAAGTCAATCAACTGGCGGAAGGCGCGAATGACATCAACTACGCTGACTAGGGACAAATCGCACATGATTTAGAATCTTCTCCGCTAGGAAACTCATTGTACGCAAAAGACCTTTTGACCATTATGCTTGTCGGACAATATGGATGCTCATTGGAGCCACCGAAGGAGTCCACCGCATGAACCATCGTTGAGTCCTAAACGTTCTAAAGATCGTTTAGTGGAAGCCGCCGTATACCTAGTGATAGAGACCTCTATGTGCCATCGCTTATTCCTTGATCAGTGGAGACTATTCGATGGCGAACGACAACTCATTCTGCGTTGTTCCACATCGCTCCGCTAGTTCCCTGACACATGTTTCGCAATTTTGTCTTGGCAGCGCGTGTTCCTTTCATCTAATAATGTTAAGTCGACTAGTATCCACACGACTATGGTTGAGGTCGAGTGTAACCCTGCCAAGGGCTGCTCAGGTCCTTCTTGCTCGGCGGCGATTTGCTACCAGTATCCCTGAGACAGTGCAAGGTCTGCAGAGCGCCCTAGAGGCTAAGGCTGGCGACATCACGGTAAGTTTCATTTGAATCGTCTGCTGGACCTTGTATGCTCTTCTCCACTGCTGTCGGAGGCCTTTTGATTCGTTATCACGGTCAAGGGCGCGTACTTCAAATGTTTGGCCGTAGGTGGTGGCGTCAAGCCCGAACATGCTGAAAGTCCGCAGCAAGGAGCTCAATCCGTCCATTGGCGAGCTAGTGTCTCTGTCAGAAGACGCGAAAGGAGTTGTGGTAGGACCCTTGATTATTTGCAGATATCCTATTTTCCATTATTTATGGTAGGTCCATTTCGATTCTTCGATCGCTACAGTACTTCTGCTGAAACACGATGCTCCAGTCGTTACTGGGACGCGTGAGACACGACCAGTTACATAGCTAGTTCCAATGCTCTTCTTCTGTAGAGGTCCAATTCGATAATCTGGGAAGGTTTGATGCAATGCGATTGCCTTTTGTACCAATCGTTGATCGAATTCCGGTTGCGAGAAGATTCCGTGAGCAAAAGTCCGCATGCTATGATCCCTCATCCAGATGTGTGTGCAGGTACCGGACTTGGCATCGTCGATGCTCTTTCCCCCACAGCAGAAGGGCAATCAATAGCCATAAGAGGACCATCTACGGCTACCAGTATGTATATGGCCTCCGCCCTCAACAAGATAGTTTCCAATGCTCTAAACGAAGGTATGTGTGAGGGTGTCTATACGCCTCTTGAACTCCTAGTGCGCTCTTAGCGAGGCCAATCCTTTCGGGATGGCATATCTGCCCCAGAGCTGAGTCCACTTCATAGGGGAGTAGACAAAATTGAAATTATTTTGGTCGTGCTAACGAAATTGATCATACTACCTTGTGCGTCTGCTAAATAATAAGACCTACCTTGGGATGGCATAGTGGCCCCGCCTGGCGGAACTGATTGTACTAAAGACTCATATTTGGGTAGCTTAGTTAACTCGTCTATATGAAGTGACCGTACCAAGCCATATCTCTTAGTGGCCTAATCACCTCGCGTTGAGGAGTTGATTAGTATGTTTGAGTGGCATAGTTGCCCCGCCTAGAGGAATTGATCAGTATCTTTGAGTGGCATAGTTGCCCCGCTTAGAGGAATTGATCAGTATCTTCGGGTGGCATAGCCGCCCCTTCTGGGGAATTGATTGGCATCTTTGAGTGGCATGCCTGCCCCGCCCGAGGGAATGCATCTCATTGGGAGGGAAGGTGTACCCCTTCGAAAGTTGTAGTGGAATTGTGGTATGTATTTTATCATCATCAAATTGACATGTCTCTGTGGTCAGGTATATCTGTAGTGTACTGCAACCCTCTTGGACCAGCTCCAGGAGCTATAACACATAAGCAGGGCATTGAGGGTCTTGACCTCATATGTGGAGATCAGTCGAGTCCATCTGTGGGATACCTCGCCTTGCTCAAGTCGTTAGAGGTGGCTAAGGAGCGACGCGAAGGAGGACGAACTATGCTTATACTCGACAATGTTGCTGAGTGAGTTTATCTCTATCAGGCATCATGCCTGAGGCGTACGTCTTAGGTGACGTATCAGGTACGGTGCATTGAACGGTCAGTTGCGGTCAGAAGCCGGAGTGCCAATGCCTCTATCGACCGACCAGATAGTGTCTGCAGCTATGCAGTAGGTCAACGGTAGTGCGAAATCATGATTGCATTCGTTTGCCCCTTAGGTATTCCTGTAACACTGAGATCAAACTCTGTCCGCTCACAACGGTTGTTTTCACGGATGAATACATTCGAGACGTGGAGATGCAGGCGGATACTGTATGGAATATCATGATCCGTACTCACTACTTCTACTCTATTCAGCTATTCCAATATAACGTTGCCGCCGCAGCGTTCGATGCTACGGGGCTCTGCCACAACTCCCTCCTCTACTCATTGTTACCACCTCTCGAGGCTAAGTGTGTAAAGGACCTTCGAGACATGCACGTAGGCCTCTCATACTGAAGTGTTTGCTTGGATCTCATCCTCAGGCCAGGACAACAATGAAGCGTTCCACTATTGCTGAACAGCAGGCATTTGGTATCCATGTGGATTACTGGGAAGAAGAGGATATGCAGCATTGGTCCAATGCACTAGCAATCCTCGATGCGATACCACTCTCGTTGCCCCCTGCTAAACGCATACTGGTACAACGTTGTATAGAATGGGCCCTTTTCACTTGCCAATTTGATCAGGTCTTGCGAAGCGTCTTGGTGTATTATTTTGTGGGTAAGCGTAATCTCGAAGAAGCCAGTATCAATGCTTTCATCGACGAGTTGACACAATGTATTGCCACTAAGGAACCAAAAGTCATGGATGCTATAAACGCGGTATTGGCAGAATCCGACTGTAGATGGTTTATTAGTAAGGAGTGTATATTGCAAGTTGCGTGTCCAGGTTCTCCAGAGCTCGTTGAGGATCTATGTTATCGACTAGATTGGGTTTTGGCGAAGTACCGTTATCATTTCGAGCTGGCAACGCCCAAGGAAGTCTGAAACCTTGTGTGTGTTGCAATGTCAAGTTTCTATCACTAGTCATTTGCCTTGTAGTGTTTTCAGTGAGAGGTATGCGCTTTGAAGGACCGTGTAGCTGCAGCATTTCCAGATCAATTTATTGGTGTACTCGAATTTCTAGTTATGTACCCATTTGTTTCAAAAAATACTATCTGGCATTTTTTAATGACTGTTTTTGATGAATTACCCGAAATTTTATCAATAGCTGATCATTTCAGAGCAAATCAAGCACAGCGCTGAAACGCATTTGCTCTTCCTGTTGCTGTTACGAAGGACAACGAAATTACAATGCACTCGTTCAAGAAGCGCTGGCCATATGCAAAGATCGTGTCGAGCAGTACCCTATGATTATGCCGAGCGGAGTCCCCTCGGCTATCATTATGTACAGTAGCAGTTAGTTTTATATCGATAGATGAAGACTCACGGTTCTTCACGATATGGTTCATCAATCCCTTGCATCAAAATTAATGACCCGTGGTGGGTACTCACCCGAGGACTGACGGTTTCCGATGGGTACTATCCTTAGTAACTCCTCCAAAAAAGACTGCAGAAGCTTCTAGAGGTCACGGTTGGTGTCTCCCGGCCGATGTGGACTCCGGTATCCGTATCAACTCGACTCCGCCGTCGAGTTGCATTAAAAACACTTCACGGTCTTCAGCGGATAGTCACGAGAGGTCATGGTGATGATGTGATCCCGTTTCGCGAATCACATAACCGAGCATATCTCGTTCAACACAGTGCTTGACGATTTGTCTGTGGTTCCGGCAAGACAGAAGTCCTACGGTACTGAGTATGACTCCCTCCTCCGGACCTTCGTTATGTCACGCCCCAAGCTTCCAAGCGATATCAGTGAGGTTCGACAAATGAAATAGCCCTGCAGTATCTGGCAGGGCAAGAGGATGTCGCCATAACCACTGAACTCGAACCTCCATCGAACTAGCTGCCCGAAGGATGGTAACAGCCCACAAAGTACGAATGCCAGACTATAAAATACCCTTCATTGTGGAGCACCGAGTACATTCAGGAGATTATCTTCACGAAACATGAGTATGAAAACTCTGGATGACGAAACGTAGAAGCGAGAACATCGATTCCACCTTTTTAGTTCTAGATTGTACTCGTAGGAATCCAACAGGATCAATTTGAACTTGAAACTCTTCCTAAAAATTGTTGATTCAACGATTTGAGGCGCTTGCAGCACAAGCACTTCAAATAGGTCAAATTTACACGTTGCTGGTTGGATGGGGACTACCCTTACTGTCAATGTATCCCACTACGAAGTTCGCTATTGCTAGCACTAGTAAATAGATGCCGATAATGAGGTAGGTCCAAGACGTGACCCCACTGTCGACCCCTCCTGTTACGTACAGCAGGCCTATGTACAGATAGACCAAGCCTCGGCCGATGAGAGTATCAAGGAAAGGAGCCCAGCGTAGGATGGCTTGTGATAGAGACCATGTTGGGGCCATTTCTACGGCTAGGAGAGTGAGACCAAATATCATATAAAATATTGAAAGCATGTATGACAGCGGGCTGAGGACCTGAAAGGAAGCTGTTACAGTGAATGGATGAGATGGACACAGACTGAAAACTTACCGAGTTGAAGACCCTGAAGAAGCCGAAGAATGCAATGAGGACGATTAAGAAGGCGCCAATGATGCCGACTATCTTCATTATAGGGTTGGAGTCACCAATGAGGTCATTCCAAGCTAATCGGGCCTACAGCGGGGAGGACATTGTCATAACCGTCAATTCCAACACGCGTGGTATGCGTATGATGCATTTCCAATCCCTGATAAACCAGACGGAAATTGCAGAGTTATTTCGCGTCACATGTGTGACAATCGACAATTCGAAAACGTATCCCCCTGTGTGTCTGCCGAGTTAATCTCGATGAATCCATCATCTTCATATACAAACTATGCTGATTAGGATTACCTTATCCGTGAATGAAGGCCCAGAAGTTGCCGTATTGTTTGCAGCGTTTTCCATGATGATTTTTCAGCGGTAGACAAAGTGTGACACCAATGTGGCTTGAGCGCTACGCCGTTCTAATCGATTGTATCATGCGCCGATGATGAGAGCATTTCCATTACGACCTTGTGCGAGTTGTCCCCGTGATACGTGAAGTTACTGAGGCTAGCATGGCTAGCTTATTGTGTGATTTGGAGAGTAGTTAATTTTCTATGAAGATTCATCTTTCTGTTGCTAGTGGAAAACTTTTATCCGGTGAATTCCGTGATTTTTATGGCGTCGTATTGGGCTTGGATTAGAATGATTTTTGTCGTAGTTTCTGAATATTAACTCGCATTAAGAGTGTGCAACAATGGCCACTAATACTACTCCTGGTATGAAACCAAATCTCACGTGGAAAGAGAAAGTAAGTTACCTCCCTAATTACTCATCTCGTATATGTATCATTCAGATCTCTCGAGCTTGGTCCGATACCACCAATGGCAGTAACGCCTTGATTCGTATCCTAGGCGTATTGGCTGCCCTCGCTACGTTCGTTGCCGGCTTGTTGAGCATGATCAACTTCTTCAACATGGTCACCAATCCCTTGTCTTATGTTCTCGGTGTGTTCTTTATGATATTCGGTATTGTTCTGACCTTCATAGAGTTGTTCCCTGGATCAAAGCTGTCTAAGGTTATCTTCTCTCAAGCCAAGTTCCTAAGTCATCTCCTCGGACGTGGTTCATTCTACCTCTACCTCGGCCTTCTGTTCACCTGTGGCGGTGTCCAGAGTGGCTTCACTTCGATCATTTCCTTCGTTGTTGGTCTATACTTGATCGCAGTAGCTCTCGTGTTTGGTGTTTGGGGCTTCACTCATCGTAAGGAAGTGTCCATGACCGAGCCTCTCAACGGTGCTACTAATGTATAAGCTCAATAAGAAGTCTTCCGAGTTACTTTTGTACACACTTATCACTTACCCGTAAGATTTTGTACCAAAATTCTTGTTGTTAGCCAGCAATGAAATTGCTGCATAATGTCATAAGATCAAGTCGCTTTCAACAAGTGTTTTCAATAGGGTTGATAATCCTTAATGGTTGAGTTGTATTTGGGCATGGTGCAAAGTTTCATCGGACTTGTGTAGTGCTGAAACATTCTACGATCGAACCGTTTTTAGTTGTTGGTATACTTATTGGGTATCTATCGGGTAGTTCGCATCAGGTTATGCTTTTGTATATTTTGATATGTTCTTAACAAACTTTCAACGTTAAAGAGATAAGTTGTAAAATGTGTAAATCGCTCATATGGCAGGTTTGAAAAACGTGTGTTCGTCAGCAGTCCGAGGGTAGCGCTCAATACTAAACCGATCCTTAACAACTTGTATAAAACTTGGAGAGGATGGACTTCAACTCGGTTCGAAATAGTTTGAAAATATGATATCCGAGACTTAAGTTGAAATATGACTAAGCTTCTATACGATCGTTGAAGAGTATACGGTGTCAAGCTAGCAGTTGTTGCTTCCCGTATTGTTGGTGAGCACAAAGTACTAGCGTAAAGCTACTACACATTGTGATGTGTTCTGAATTGTATGTGGGTTGTTTCGGTGATTAGTGGTGATAGCCATACTATTTTTATATGTCTGCTATCGAGGAAAGCCCTAAAGACAACAGCAAGGTCAACGTCACCTTTGAGGAAAAGGTTGGACATGTGACGTCTTGAAGTGTTTCTCGATCATTTCCATCAGGTGCGGTATGCGTTTGAAGATCCCACTCCGCACAGCACTATTTTTACTCGTGTTATTGGCATCGTTGGCGCAATAGCTGCCTTTCTCTCTGCTGTGTTCGCCCTGGTCTCCTCTATTACTGAGTTTTCCTTCATACCGTTGTATCGAACTCCTCTTAATTTTTGCGTACTCGTGTTTTTTGTCATTTTTAGTCTGTTGATGATGCTCATTGAGATCTTCCCGGGATCAACATATGCTAAGAATGTGATCGGAGACACTACGTTTTTGGGCCACCTCTTCGGCCGAGGTTGGTTCTATCTTGTCCTTGGTACTTTCTACGTGTGCAGTGGCCATATCGTATGTACAATCACCGGTGTATATCTGTTGGTTGTCGGTGTGATCTTCGTAACACTGGGTGCGATTCGCCATAGTGAGGAAGGCTGGTCAGCTGAGGAAGAGCTTGAGGTCAAGTCTGAGGTTTAGATTGAATTACGGTATGGGTGAGTTTTACTAATATGCTAGTATTTGCACATCTGCAATAGTTACTCAGGAGTGCTACCGTTTAGTTGTCTCTTGTGTTCATCTATGGAATGTATTCAACATAGTGTGTTGTGTTGTTATATAGACCTCCATGCAGGCCTTGCTTAGTTGGTGTAATCATCAGTCATTAGCTCTCCAAATCTCCTTTGATGTATCAAGAGATCGACATTCTTTGAATGTATATGATTCACAACCATTGTAAATTTCTCGTTGTTGATGAGGTTGGAATACTAGTGAATGTAGTGGGAGGAGTCTTCTGTTGGTGATAGAGTCGCTAGAGTGCATCAGCAGAGGAAAGTGAGGGATCGCTATACGCTGTGGATTCGGCTGTGAGTTTGAGGCATGCTGAGTGTCTTGAAAGGTCTATGTAGTTGTCAATACGGAATTGTTGTGTTTCTGTCAATGAGGGGTTGTATTACCGGCGAGTGATGGAAAGAACTTTGCTCATCCTATAGAGCGCTGTTAACCTCGCTACACGAAGAAAATCACGCCATTATCAATTATAAGTTAACATATCGTAATATACGATAACCCTAATAAACACCAGGATAATATATTATATGTTAACTTAGAGGGGCTATCACTATTCTCTCTCTCTATTTATATATGATTATAAGGATATTAAACACACTATATAGTAATATTAACTAGTTTATATTAAAACCATATAATAAATATATATTAAGGTGCTGACTGTTAATTGTCGTCCTCATAGAAATCGTAGTGGAAGTACCTATTCCAGCATAGAAGATCTTCTCGATGAAGGTGTGGCTATATTACTAGGCCTTCGTGACGAAGGGGCGGAGCTCGGCATCCGGGTTCGATTCCCATGCCTGGCGTTTTTCTGCAAAAATACGTTTTTTGCACGGAAATCTACATGGTCCGGGCGGAACCCTAATTTCGTATTTTTTCTAGTATCCCCAGAGCGAGAGCTATCGAATGGTGTATAGCATGTGATCATATCCTCTCTAGATCGAGCTGGATAATTTGTTCGCACGCACGCACGCACAAAGTGTTAGTAAAGTGAGAGAATACGCTCCGCTCGCTTCGCTCGCTCCGCAACTAGTTCTATTAGGTGAATACGAGCCAACGTAAGGAGCATTCAGTGAGATGACCAACAGCGCTGTACACATTTTGAACCACCCATTGTGTTAGAGTTCACCGCTCACCATAGCCCATGTGCCAGCCACTGTATTGGTTGTAGTCCTTTAGCATTTCTAATGTCTATCGGAACAGCAGTTGCTCCTTCTACTGCGGAGAGTGATGACGTTGTCGTCGCCTCCCCCACGACTCGTACTAAGAAGAAGATTGTGCCGTATTATAAGCTCTTCCGTTTTGCGACTAGAGCTCAATTGATAGCCATTGGTGAGGAACTCCTTTACTCTTATTGTTAATAACTTATTTTCTGCGTGCCTCAGTTGTCGCGGTGTTGGCCGCGGCCCTGCACGGAATTTCCCTGCCAATGTTCGCCTACGTTTTTGGAGATCTTGTTGGTGAGTTTTTGGGAGGATTCAAGAGGAATAAATTATTATTTTTCAGACGTCCTTGGCAACCCTGAAGGCGTTGATTTTATGGACGAGATTTCCAAGCGTTGTGTGTACTTGGTAGGTCAGCGGTTGTGATGTTCTTCCCGCACTGAAATTCACTAAGGTTTATATTGGGCTTGCAGCGCTGGTTCTTGCTGGGCTCTGGCATGGACTGCTGACTTTCACTGCACAGAGCCAAGCTACTACTATCAGGAGAGCCTATTTTGAAGCTGGTCAGTCGTTGGTGCATGGATATGAAAATTCTAAGGAAATTATTGTTGGCTCGTTTACACTTCTACCCGAGAACATATGGGAATTTCTATAATTAGTGAGGAAACGTCCGAGGTCAGCTGAGGAAAGCAGGCCTATTTTGAAACACTGTTTATGAGAGTCATTTACAGTGTTGGAATATATGTTCGCTTTCTCCAGCTGGGTCTAGAAGTTTATGTATAAATTTGAAATTTTGTGCACAAAAACCGATGAGAATTTCCTCAATTTTCCCTCAGAATTTCCGCAAATGTCATCTACACATGTAGTTGACCATGTGCATATTTTTCCATGCTGATTTTGTTAGTGCTCTCTCATGATGTGGCTTGGTTCGACACAATTTCGCCGGCTGAACTGCCGACTAGGATGACTGAAGACGTCTCCAAGGTGGGAAGGGAAATTGCTGGTTCTGTGAAGTCTCTCTTGTTGTGGTAGGTTCAGAATGCTATTGGATTTAAACTTGGCGTTTTCACCATGAATTTATCTATGTTCATTTTTGGTTACGTTTTAGGATTTATAAGAGGCTGGAAGGTGAGCATCTCATCATCATCGTCAAGAAGGATCTTGTGCGAATTAGGTCTGCCTCGTAGCCTTGGCGGCCATGCCCGTAGTGATTGCCGCATCGGCTATACTTGGGCACGCTATGGCACAATCTGCTAATGAATCTCAATCGTGGTATGCTAGGGCGGGCGCTATTGCGGAGGAGGTCGTATATACGTGGGCTTGTGGAGTGATGATGGTCAAGGCTTGGCAGGTGCTCAGCTCGATTCGTACTGTTACTATGATGGGTACGCAGAGGCATGAAGTGCAGCGCTACACTAATTCACTGGAAGAGGCTAGGAAAGGTAGGGGGGTAAGTCGGTGGTTACTTGAACGACTTGTTATTGTTGTAGGTGGCACCAGACTGGGTTTCCAAGCAGGGCTTGGCCTTGGCTTGACTTTCGGCGCGGTTTACTTCTCATATGCTTTAACCTTTTGGTGAGCATATGAGTTGGCGAGTTTATGGTATGATGCAATATTTAGGTACGGAGGAACACTAGTTCGTGATGGCGTTGAGAACGACTTCACAGATGAGCCCTTCAACGGGGGCGACATTCTCACTATTTTCTTCTCCCTAATAATGGGTAGTTGGTGATCTTGGAGGGGGCGTATTTGTAGTTTCTTTATGCCAGGAACTTTCGGTCTGGGACAAGCCCTGGCTCCTATGCAAGCTTTCAATATAGGGAGGTCATCAGCTACAGACATTCTGGAGTTGATAGATGACAAGGGCGGCAGTATAGAACCGCCAATTCCGGCCAGGGGTCCTGATGGTGACGCGTGCACGACTTGGTTCATCGCGATAAGGATTTTTCTCTCAGGGAATATGGTCGTATTTTATGCCGTGCCGAAGATGGAGAAAATGACTCTGGACGGCGTGAGCTTTACGTATCCGTCGCGGCCTGAGGTGCCCGTGCTGAAGAGTGTTACGTTGGACATAGAAATCGGCAAAAAAGTGGCGTTTGTTGGCGAGAGCGGCTCGGGGAAAAGTGAGGGGATTCCCTTTGATGACTGCACTTAGATTCTTTGCTGGCTAAGGTACTATAGTCGCTCTACTGGAACGCTTTTATGACCCCACCAGCGGCAGAGTTCTACTCAATGGCAAAGACATCCGTACGTTAGAAGGCAGCCCTCAGTGTGTGAGGTCAATCTTTGGGTATGACAGCAGCAGCAGCAGCTTTTACTTCGAAGTGTCGATGGTTGGTCTGTACAGGTATGTTGGCCAAGAGCCTATATTGTTTGCCGCTTCCATAAAGGACAACTTGGCATATGGGTTGCCTTACGTTCCGACTGATGAGGAAATTAAGGCGGCATGCAAGAGAGCTAATGTGAGTGTCGGAATAGAAATGAATTGAGTCATTGCTGAGGTCGGCAGGTGCATGCCTTCATATCGTCTCTACCAGATGGGTACAATACGTATTGTGGGAGCTCTAGTGGTGGGGGTAGTCAAATATCCGGAGGCCAGAAGCAACGTGTAGCGATTGCTCGGGCACTACTTAGAAATCCTCAGGTAGGTATAACTTCAACTACTGTATTTATTGGGTATCAACTGTTTCGGGACAGATGATATCATATGCATTGTAGTAAATGCTTGATCATTGGCGTCTCGCATGTTTTACATGGAGTGGTGTAATACTCTGTGAAAAAAAACGATATTCGTGGTATGCAGTAGTCGTGAAATATGTTTTTCACAGCACGGTTGAAATTCCAATTATATATTCATTCGCATGCTTTTTCCGTGATGGTAAATCATAGTTATAATGATGACAGATACTGTTATTGGATGAGGCCACATCTGCATTGGATAATGAGAGTGAAAAGATGGTGCAGGAGACCATCGATAGGTAGCACTGTCCCTGCTAGTCGATGGCTGCTCACTGAGGCTGTTATGTGCTTTTTTAGTTTGCAGCGCACTTCCCAGCTGACCACCATATCAATAGCGCATCGTTTATCGACTATACGCAATTCTGATGTCATCTTTGTGATGAAGTCTGGTTGTCTGGTGGAGCAAGGGACTCATGAGGAGCTCATAAGTGAGGGCCGATCGTGTGTCAGAGTCGGTGTGTATGGTCAGCTCAGGTAAGCCCCAGGGTGTCTACAACACACTTGTGGCGGCTCAACAGGCTGCTGCAGCGGATGCTAAGCAGAAAGATGGTCAACTGGATATTCAACGGCAACAGTGAGATGCCCTCTAGATAGAGTCCTTGCTGGAGTTGCGGTTGTTTTAGTTCTACTGCCAGTTCGAGCGCGGCAAGTCATGGTGAGTCGGTCTAGTAGGCCGTGAGCATTGCCTTTAGTGTTTGTCTCTCGTAAGGTGGCCAAGCTGGGGAGAAGTCCAACGTAGTCGATACACGTACAGAGAAGGAGATCGAGCGTGAGCGTATCGATGCAATTGCTAAGGCCTATAAGGTAATCTCCTTATCTAGTGTAATCATCCTCAAGCTCACTAGTGGAAGCTGTCAGGTGCCTTGGAGACGTATTTTCGCCTTGTCGAAGCCCGAGAGTGGGTTCTATATCCCAGCTCTACTGGGAGCGGCTGTTTTCGGATCGGTCATGCCATTCGAGGGCTTCCTACTTTCCCGCTCTATGCGGGCCTTTTATAAGACTGATCCTGACGAGATGATGGACGGAGTCATACTGGCGTCAATTGGGTGGGTCGGCGGCTCTGACCAGTGTTCATCACGGCGTCTCTTAGATATGTTATTTTGGCGGTAGCAACTTTGTTTGGGGCCTTCACCCAAGTAGGCGGCTTTGCCTTCATTGGAGAGCACCTCACGAAACGAGTCCGAATGCTGTGTTTTGGGAAGTTCTTGGAGCAGGTAGGATGACCTCGTGTATAGGTGGTTACTGTTGGTACCAGGATATGGCGTTCTTTGACGACCCTAAGCACTCGCCGGGTCGCCTCACTGCGGCTCTTGCCACATACGCCCTCAAGATGAACGCTATCAGTGGTGTTCAGCTGGGTGCGTATACCATGGACATCATAGTCACTGTATAACTAATGCCAGGTGCTTATTGCCAATTCTCAGCGTCCCTTATAGCCGGTCTTATTATCGCTTTCTTCGGCTCGTGGAAGCTCACGCTGGTGATGCTAGCGATTCTACCTCTGATGGCCGGAGCTGGTACGCACTTAGTCGCCTCTCGTTATTGAAGAGCATTGGTCTCTCTAGGTGGCATACAGATGGCAGTGAGCATTGGAATCGATAAGAATAAGAGTGCTGACTCCCTGGCTGCGAACCAGGTGGCCTCGGACACAGTTCAGAACATAAGGACAATTCGCGCTCTCGTGTCGGAGCAGTGGACCCGCAACTTGTGAGCGTACGCTAGTTTCACCCTGAGCAATGTTTGATGTCTCAGATTCCAAGACCTCCTCCATCGCGCTGTACCGTATCAAGCACGTCAGTCCAGTTGGGCTGCGCTTTGGTACGGCATTTCACAGGGGATTCTATTCTTCAGCGTGGCCCTGGGGTTCTGGTGAGCTCAGAATTTGCGTGTCTCCTGTTGCGATATGATGTCGCCTAGGTACGGTTCCAAACTGGTGCAAGATGAGGGGCTTACATTTGACAAGATGATTCAGTCCTTGATGGGAGTGTTCTTAGCAGCTATGGCGGCGGGCCAGGCTCTAGCTTTCGTTGGGGACATCAACGAAGCCAAGGCAGCGGCACACGACATATTTGAACTACTTGATAGCGAGAGTTCGATCAACCCTTCAAGCGACAGGGGGAGGAAGAACAGTGTGTGGGGACCACAAGTGAGTTTTCTTTTCTGCTGCTGCTCGAAAATCAAATTGTGAGTTTTAGGGTACTGCGGTTCCGGCAGCGGTCAACATTACTTTCAAGGATGTGCAATTCGCGTATCCTCACAGACCAGGCGCTCAGGTCGGTAACATTATTTTCATATGTTGCATGTGGTTTTCAGATTCTATCTGGTTTGAGCTTCGAGATTGAGGCTGGTAAAACTGTGGCTTTGGTGGGCCCAAGCGGCGGAGGGAAATCGACTGTGTTCGCCCTTCTGCAGCGATTTTATGACCCCACTGGTGGCGAGGTAGGTCCTAGCAGACTAGCAGGATATAGATCATGTACTCATTTGCAGATACTAGTTGAGCCTGCTCAGGCTCGTCTAGAAGATATGAATGTTGGCTGGTGGCGAAGTCAGATTGGGTTTGTAGCACAAGAGCCTGTTCTCTTCGACTTGAGCTTGGAAGAGAACGTTCGATACGGGTGGCCACCACCACCTTATGCTGCATCAACGACTGGTTAGTTGGCATTCCTCAGGTCACCACCTGTTGGGCGCCCGGAGATGCTCTCTATTTGTGGTCGGGCTGGTATGAATGACTTTGCTGGTAACAAGGTGGCTTGGGATGCCGGTTTGGGCCCTCGAGGTGGTCTACTATCGGGAGGCCAGAAGCAGAGGGTGGCCATTGCTAGGGCATTGATGCGGCATCCGAGGTGAGTGGTTATGCTTGCCCATTCTCCTGGATGTTGTTCATCAGGTTACTCATGCTCGACGAGGCGACCTCTGCATTGGATTCGGCATCAGAAGCAGTAGTGCAGAAGGCTATTGATGAGCTGACTACGACGAGACAATCCTCCACTGATGGTGACGATATGGGCGGTCGTGGCTGCCTGCTTTTATGTTTGGATAGTAGGTACGGTGGTAAAGCCAACAACACTGATCATAGCCCATCGTTTATCGACTATCACCAATGCTGATCTGATACTGGTGATAGCCGGTGGACGATTGGTCGAACAAGGCACCCACACCGAGCTGTTGACTAAAGAGGGCGTCTACTACGATCTATACCAGAAGGGCAGTTTGTAATTCACTGTCCTCGATCATTATAATAGCACGAACCAGTTAACGCTGTATGAATAACGCTATGGGCTTTTATTTGATAGTGTGTCTTCATGTGATGGTAATGTTAAGGTGATATGTTGTGTTGCTATTGCTGAGTTAGTGACTGTGAGGCTCTCATCAGTGGAGGAGGTCTTGTGACTTAGAATAGACATAGGGCAGACGATAAGATAATAACCATTGCATTTGACGGACAAATGCTTACGAGGGCTGTCAAGAAAGACAGTTCGTTCCATCTCAATACCGTGAGTGACGTGACTCTATCGTACAGAGATCTATGTGGCGAATACAGTCGCTATGTCCGCGGGCACGAGCAAGAACGTGGCGTTAGTGAGCAAGGAAGTCGATTCGGCGAGATGGTTCAAGTAGGGAATCCATTTTAGCAAAAAAGCACAATTTTGAGAGACCACCCTGGGTGGGAGTCTCGGCACATTATCTTCATGCATCGAGTTCCAGCCTGCTAATGGCAACCTGTAACGACGCATGAATGCTGTATCATACACATGCGATTCGGGACCCGAAGTGGGCTACTTCCTCCGGTAGGTTGCATAGTAGTCATCGACCACTGCCAGACGGCATTCCGCTCGATGTTGCGCTGATAAATCGATTACCAGGGCGCGCGCGCTTGTCAATCATGCAGTGTTGTAAGCAGCAACACGTCACGACTTGATAGTGTCTTGTGTGGTGATATCATTAAATTTATGCGTTCGCTCCGTTAATCTTTTTGCCGTTGTTGAGCTGCCGTGGGAAATTAGGTTGACAGTAGAAGTACGTGTTAGTGTATTTGTTCTCTAGTAAAATGCCGGTAAAAGACCTCCTAGAGGAGTCTGCTGATGGGCCGGTAGTAGAGGTAGTAATAGTAGGAACATGATTAGTAGCATGACTCTATCCTATCGTCAGACAGCTGCCATGCTCTTGTCCAATCCTGAGATCCGGTCATCGGGCCAAAGCCTCGAGGACATATGGAAGTTGGCGAAGGAGATCGTCGTAGCGAAACGACAAAGTTCGGATAACCACGTCACAGCGTCGAGCTCGTCAGCTCCTAGCAGCAGTAGAGGTACTACTACTGGTCTCAGAGATTTCGCGCGCCACGAAATTATGCTCATGGCGTGTTGTCAGATAGTAGTTCACAAGGTAGGGGAGGAGCGTCATTGAGTTCGCCGATGGACACGCCTCCCGGTATTAATATGGGTAATATCGAAGCGGAGCCTTTTGCTCCTATCAGCGTGATGGGACCTGCTGTGGCGGAGGGCGGCCAGAGTGCATCTTCCACAGCGACATTTCCTATGCCTTCATCGTCTATGGGGCAACCCTATACTGCGGCGGCAGGTTTACCTCAACAATCGCAGTTGAATCGACCTGTGAGGGGTATCACCCCGAGCCATAAGCCGGGGTTGGCGTCATCCAGTGCTCGGCAGAGGAGGAGATCGCAACCCAATGTGTCCAACGCGATCACAATGGACTCATCTGACCTCAGGACCACGCTCATGCTGAAGAACATTCCCAATAAATATACTCGGCAACTTCTGGTTAACGAGGTTATGGCTCGCATGCCCGTTGGGTCATTCGATTTTGTCTATATGCCTATTGATTTCCGTTCGCGATGTAACTTCGGTTACGCCTTTGTCAACGTCACCGACCCCAAGTTCACGCATATGTTCTTCAACGCCTTTAAGAATTCCCGACTCCCTGGAGTTAAGAGCAGTAAAGTATGCGAGGTGGTATATGCTCGAGTGCAGGGATTGCAGGCTAATGTTAATCGCCTTATAAATTCTCCTATACTGGACTGCACTCCTGAGGATGATGATGATGCCCTCCCTCTGGTATTTGGAGACCACAACGAACAGATCCCCTTCAAGAAACTTGCCCAGATGAGGCGAGAACGCCAAGTGCAGATGCGTGGCGCAGGGAAACGCGGACAGCATCATTTGAAACAACCAACTACCATTGCTGAGGGCTCGCCTCTACCCCCGGTCCCTACTGCTCCGGCGGCTCCTCAAATCCCGACGGCTCCGAGTGATACGTGGGTGCCGACAATCTCGAGTGTGCCTACTGGGCCTGGCTTGGAGTCTCTGCTGTGGGATACAATGCCACTTGATGACAACAGCAGTTTTGTGTCAGCGCCGACTCTACTGTTCGGTGCTAATGGTGGACAATATGGAGGTATGTCAACTATGACGGGGACCTCGGCTAGGTTAGTCGAGGAGGAACAAGGAGATCATCATAAGAATATGCTACAGAGTCCTGACTGGCAACCGTGTGATACGGACCGACTCGTGTTGGATTCACTTAACATGCTCAGTCTTGAGTAACCTCAACTCGGCAGGTGGTAGTTCTTCAGCATCATCATCATCATCATCATCATCGCTATGCGGCGTATCAGCTGCTCATGTGATTATTGGGGAGGTTGGCCTCGTTATATAGTCCCTAGTCTGTCGCGGCGTGTCTTCATTCCGAATTGTGAGATTATTGTCAGTACTAAAACCTGTTTGGTAGTGGTCGATCACACCACTGCGTGTCTCACTGTACAACATCCTTGTCTTTCCAACGTCGTTGTGGCGGACTATTTTGGGTTTATTTCCTCGATAGCAGAAGGTGAAGGTAATGAGCAGTAGCAACAATGAGCGTTGTCACTGCTGAGCCCCGGCTCTATATTTGTAATGACCAGGTGCCAGAAGTTAATGTACCGTTCTTCCGTGTGTGGGAAGGGTTTTTTTTCTCTCGTAATCCCGTGTCGATTGTGACTAGTGATGGTAGTAATGTTTTGTATTGACTCAACCTGGCACGCCTGTATGACACCACGTTAGCGTTGGTGACTGTCGTGTATCCGTCTTGTCGTTGTTGTTGTTGTCACCGCTATCTTGTCGTCCTCGTCTTTGTCATTGTTATCGACCCTCTTTTCCGACCGTGAAAGCTGCTACACTTATATAGATGTTATCCGACTATTACTACTATCTCCTATGTTCTGTGTTCTTAGTGTGAGTTTTTGGGTCGGGGTCGTAAATGTCGAGTACACGAAATGAAAGGTACTCACCAGAGTAGCCGAATCTGCCTGGTTGAACTCATTAAATGTGTGGAGTACTTCAGTACTGCTTCGCTGGTTGTTGGTCCCGGATCACACGACTGGGTATCGAGTTAGTCTACCGCCATCGCCGTAGAAAGATGGTGCTCATGATGCCGAACTCTGTGAGGCCCCTCAATGATTGAAGGGGATCCATCCAGCTTTGAGAAACAACTTTCCCGGGGTTTGATAACAATGAAGAAAGTGTTCCTTATGTGATGACACTGAGATGGGAAACTGATTGAACGATGTGTTTCTAGCCATGTGGGAAATTTAAAATGGGTCCCCCTGGGAACATCATAGGTTTCTGGAGGAGGCTGATATTATTACAATATTCTTCTACTCAATAATTATCATTAACTCGAATCATGAATAATAAATCGGGGGAGTAGACCCTATTGTACTGGTGTCTTTGAGGGTAGACCATGATTTGGGATAGATAATCGGGTATCCAGTGGACCTACCGCTCCTTGGTGAACTCATGCTACTCGGTTGTACTGATGAAAGTTTCATCGTGAAAGTATGCCGGTCTCGCGATGTCTAGTTTGGCTTTCTAGTAGTTCCCGGGTCCAACAGTAAGTCTGCAAGGAGAGGGTCACCAGCATCGACTGTAGAGTCATCACCATGGTGTTCCCCACTACGTCCATGCAGCGTTACTGTAACAGGTGTGGCAGTCGCCGGGAGCACTCCGAGCGCAGTCGTAGAGAAATGGTTGAACCAACGAATCTTACGAATCTTACCAACGGGAATCTTACGGAGTAACTCATCTAGGATGAGATATTCTGTAGGATTCCTAGCCTAACAGCAAAATGAATGACAGCAGACACCTCTCTGCTTTAGGAATTACTGCACAGAGTTTGAGGTTATATATACCCTCCAGCATGATGGACCAGGAATCGAGATAATAGTAATAACTCATCAACTGAAACTCAACATCAAAAAAACTCCCTCTGCAATGCAAGGATGCCTCGATCTTTCAACGCTGAGCATTTACTTCCGGAGATACGCATCATTAGATTTCGCATGCCAAATCCGGATCTGTCCATTTCACATAAGCCATTAATCAGTAGCAGAATCAATCTCATTCAACTATCATCTCAGTCTCGTTTTCTCAAAGCCATTGATCAAATCTCAATCGGTATCATCCAATCAGAGCCTCACGAACCTCTCGGATCCGTCTGAATGCGCTTCGTTCTAAGCGTCTATTCACTCCAGCCTGCACCCGATACTCAGACCACTGATTTCCATTGACAATCACAACATGTGAGCTATCAACTCGAAATCACAAGCGTGACGCTTGAAGTGCGATACAAAGATGGAACGAATGATCCTCTCTGAAAGGACCTCTCAACATTGAAAATTCTGCAGCTGTAGAAAGTAAACTGCTCCGAAATCGTTCCTTCGAGTGACCAACAGGGCTCAACAGTTCTATATGTGTACGACAAGGGTTTGTCAAAATCTTCAATCTTGATTTCATCACTCTTACATGCGTTGATCTGGTTCGCGAGGTCCGTCCCAGCATAAGAGATAGTGAACTCGTAAGTCATCTTGCCCACAGCGGTTAGCTTCGAATATTTCACACCGCTCACAGAAACGGCACAGCCATAGAGGTTCACATGCATACTCAGGGTGTAGTCGGGGTAGAAGGTGAGTTTACCAGACACATCCTCACTGGTATCGTCGTAGTACTTTCCCATGGGTGGGGGAACCGCCGACAGCGATGAACCACAATGCTTCCGCAGAAGGATGCGAAGAGGATGAAAACTGACTGCTTCATAGCGGTGAAGGACGGCCGACCTGAGAGAAGGTTACGAACAAACTGGAGAGCTAGTTGCTTGGATAGACATGGGAGTGTATGCGAGCTCAATGCGTACGCATGCTTACCAAAACCGTCACACATCTCTCGGCCGGGAGGGTTGGGAGAGAGGAACCAGAAAGTCCCCTAGCTGTACCACACCGCAGCATATTGCTACGCCACGGTGTTTCTTATGGAAACAGAATTATATACGTCTGGCATGGTAGACTATAAGTGTCATAAGTAAAACGTTCATCGTCAACCTTAACCAGTCAAACAAATAAACAGAGCCCGCAGAGAGATGGGCAGAACACTGGTAGGTAGAATTAGCTACACTACAGTGCGAAGGTTAAGGAGTTCCACCATCAGCCGCGATGCCGCTGGAAGACTCTCCCGCTCTCTTGGAGCACGGCTTGGCTGACTCCATCCGGATACCTCATACCTCACATTATGTGGTTTGCGTCAGGAAGGTAGGCCTGAGACTAAGAGGAAGCGACGCATTCATCTTCGGCCTTCCTAAGGTTCAAGCAAAATTCTAAAACGCACTCGCACAATGTCAAGAGCCGCATCCTGTGCTTTTCATCTAATTGAATACCCGATGGCCTTATCCCCGTCTCTCTTCTGGCATCATTCAAAAGTGCACAGTTCTCCACTAAATGGAGCGTCTTAGATTACCGTTTCAATTTTCCATAATACGCACCTCCCTGTGCTGACTAACGCAAAATACTCACACATAGTGTACAGGAAAATATAACATAGCTCAAGCTCGTTTCTAGTACGGATTAGATCCACGTCCTTGGCCCACTGAAAACAGGCACGCTTGTGGAGCAACGACGAGAACAGCACCGATTTTACTTCCGCGAATTTGACTCACGGGCAATCCCATGACTTGGGCTGCGGCATCTTCCTCACCCTTCTTGATCTGTCATGAACAACTACCATCATCGCCCTCAACGACGAGATGAGCCTATCACCTGCACCTGCAGCCGTTTTCCAGTGTGAGTAGCGAAACCGTCCATGTTCCTGACGGCCGCAACGGCACTCGGCACGTCGTTAAACGAGACGAAGCCATAACCCTTTGATAGGTTCGTTACATTATCAACTATGATCCTAAAGGCCAGCAAACCTCCCCTTAGAGGAGCCCTCCGAGGACCATTGCTCCTTTCCTACTTAGTGGTAGAAATTGAGCCGCAGTTTCCAAACTCCCTCGCGAGATCACCTTCTCTCCAATCCGCCGGAATGTTATACACAAAAACGTTAGCTGAGAACCATTCGAATGATCTAGGCTTCCACAGCAGAGTCCTACCCCCAGGAGGGCCGTTCTTCCCGTGCTGCTGCTGGGGCCTCCTAGGCTGTTGCCCAGATGGAGACATATTCATCTGGCCGTACCCACCACCTGGTCCGAAATTACCGCCCTGAAATCCGCCACTCTGAGGTTGTGGCTGTTGCGGAGGAGGCGGAGGTGGACCCATATTTTGGAACTGACAGGTCTCCTCCCTTCTAGTGACAGACCTCAGAAAGGCCCACCTCAAAAGGCACTTCCCACTGAGTCCGTCCAGTCTGCGAATTGTGATAATAGTAACGTCCATCCGGATGGTTGAGATACTCAGTCCAAGGACCGGCACGCCGAGGCTGCACTGTAGCTGGCGGTGGTGGCTGATGAAAGCGTAAGAATTGACTCCCATTTAAAGCACTAGATGAGCGTACAGGTGGTTGATATCCCCCAGCTCGGCTTTGGAAACCTCCACGAAGACTCCCACCTCCCATCTGAGGCATTCTGTCGAAGCCTCCTTGATCGGGAGTGCGGGAAGGTCTATCACCACCTCCTTGGAAACGATGAGAATCCACCTCCTGTTTGTGAGCAAGCCTGCAAGCATTCATCATTAACTTTCTAATACGTATACCTCCCCCACCTCTGCTCCCTGGTATCAGCACATTTAACTGTGATGGGATGAGGCTCACCAGGGAAGGTATACTTCTCATTGAGAGCTTCTATGGCCTTAACAGCGTCTGATTTCTTCGAATATCTCACAAAAGCCGCCTTATTTCCACTGGCCCGTTTAGATTCCAAACCATAGGCTTCAGTGACATTACCATACCTCGAGAACATCACTTCCGAGAATATCCTACATCACCAATTACTCGTCAAAAATACGCTTGAGCTCCTCATCAGTCGTGGACGGCGGGATCTTGAAGAGAATAGTGTATATGAAGTAGTAGTGAATATCTGCTTACATTGCCCACGAACAACTTCTGGGAGTATCCCTCTGTATCCTCAGGAAGGCCAAGCCTCTCGGGCTCGCCATTGGCAAACTGTACTTGGATGAAACCACAGACCTAATATAGAGGAGCTGCCATCATGGTGAAAGATTGAAGAGAAACACAGTTAATGGAGTAAGGGCGATGTTATTTATTGTAGTAGACTTACAGAATGGAAATACCCGATGAAGATGAAGAGGAAGTGATGATAGATAGGACAGGTAGTACATCGTCGGCTTTATACGTTCCATTAAGAGATTTGATGGCAGTAGCGGCTTCATGGACAGCACCAAACTTAACGAATGCACAGCCTGGAGGAATACAATAACAACAACAATGGTGATGATGATATCAGTGGCCATGCGACTACTACTACCCATCATAGGGGCACAAGAACACAGTAGAAGAAATACTATTATTGGCTGACAAATAAGCAAACACTTGACTTAATGTAGTTAAGCTGAGACGACGACTGCCATCACTACCTGTCTGCTGCTTGCCATTGTCTTTAGGCCTGATCATTCCTACTTCCTGGACTTCACCGTATCTACCCCAACAGCCGTGGACACTCGAAGAGAAGCTTTTTGCCGAACTTACGCTTCAAAAAGATCGCGTATGTTTTGTTCCTGCCATGTAGCTGGGAGTCTACCCACGAATAAGCGTACTGGGATACGGATCGAATCGGCCATGATGATTCGGGGTATCCAATGAACCTCTCTTCGAAAGCGCCCCTAGGATGATTGGATTCTACATGTAAAACTCTATCCCGAGAACTTCAACATCCCGATTTAGATATTTTTCGAGTTGAACTCTTACGTGCTGTTTTCATGCAACTGCAAGAAAATATTAATCGATCCCGGAATCGATAAGATATTAGCGAGATTGCGAGGAAGGTTATAAGTAAACCACGAATCATTAACAATGGTTGTCAAGGGAATCACTAAGAAGGCCGCTAAGAAGGTCGAGAAGCAGACCTTGAAGTTCGTTGTTGACTGCGAGAAGCCTGTCAACGACAACGTCATTGACGCCGAGTCTTTGGTAAGTTGGGATCTCTATTAGGGTTGCATGCTAGATGGTTCGTGTTCAAATGATGAGATCTATTCTTTCCCCGTATGATCATGATGATTATACTCAGCTGACTAATTCTATTCTGACCATAGCGAGCCATCAGCTCTCGAATCTTTGGCGTACTGAGTTTCCTTTTACTCACAGTCTCTCTTTCAGGCCGAGTTCTTCCGTAACCGCATCAAGGTTGAGGGTAAGACCGGTAACCTCGGTGAGCGCGTCACTGTCGCCAAGACTGGCAAGGCCAAAATCGTCGTCACCGCCTCTGCTCCCTTCTCCAAGCGTTACCTCAAGGTAAGCCCAGGGCCACCTTCCCTGGAAACGCCGCGCTTCTCGTGTGCGTCTTCCTAGTAGGTATGAGGAGTGTCGTTGAATCGGCGTGTGTCGACGTGTTGTAATTAGTGATTGCATGTTCTTTGTTCTGTGTAGTACTTGACCAAGAAGTACTTGAAGAAGCAGCTCCTTCGTGATTTCTTGAGGGTTGTCGCCAGCAACAAGAACACCTACGAGCTCCGTTACTTCTCCATCAACCAGGAAGAGTAAATGGGTTCTCCAAGTCGTGATCGTCGGCTAGGTTGTTCCCTGCGACCTGCTTGATTCGCGGTTGTTCCTGCTTGTGTTGTTGTGTCATGCTGTTGTTAATGGGATATTGTTCATTGTATGCAAATGATGATTATTTTCATACGTTAGACTCTGACGCCACGCGCGTGATGAGTAACCATTGGAATTCTGCAAATCTGATTGCACCCAAGTGTCATCTAAATGATAATGCGATGAGACCATTTTCTTTCCACTGAGTGACTGAAGAATTGAATCGCATTCAAGAACAGGTTGTTTGCGGTTGATTAAAATGAGATGGTTTGGAATGATGAACAATTTTTCTGTGATTAACCTATGATAATCTCAAACAACTTTAATATACTCTGACCATTGATGATATGCCTATGATGATCCAAATCCATAATCACATACGTTAGAACGGATTGTAAGTGATTGATAACTTCCTATATCTGAGGCTAATTCTCTGGGGCAAAACAGATTGAAATTCTTACCATCGATAATACCCTGTTTTAAGGGTGAGACATACACGACGAGGTTATTGTCACGATCATTAACCGAGTGAATGTAAACCTTTGGATGCTAGTTGGTTACTCACGTGCGATATTCACTACTCAATAAGTGAAGAAGCGCGTTAGCTCAGCTAACTTAGCTGGAAAATGAGAAATTCGCAAATCGATAGCTTTATAGATATACATCTAAATGTCAACATAATGTGACAGCCGTTTTCATTTGCCCAATGATCGGGAGAAAATGTGCATTATTATCGGAAGTACCTTCTTCTATCGAACTGCTCCACCTAGCGTCTTTCAGTGTCACTTGATAACCCAAGAAGTGTGTTTCAATTCCAACGTAATATACAATGCTACAGCATAAGCTTCAAATGTCGTAGTACCATTATTAAGTCGATGATGGAAGATATCGCTTGCACTACGAATACTATACGAAATCCATAACTTGGTAATGGACAGCAGCTGGTATCCGATCACGCTTAGCAACAGGATATCCACAGGCAGCAGTAGCATCAAAGACTTTCTTCTTCCCTCTACGTGCATGTGGTGGCATCGACTCTGTATCAGTAACATCACCAGCTGTCCTTGTACGTACACGCCCAGGGTGCAATGTTACACTACGAGGCTTTCGAATACCACGTCTACGAGCCAAACGCCGCCATTTGACAGTATTGCGAGCATGCGAGGCCTCAGGTGGAGGTCGGCCTTCTATCTCAGTGTCACTGTCGTCTACCATCACTTGATGATGCAGCCGTTTCTCGGGCAAAACTCGCTGGAGGGCCATGATGAACTCATCGGCCAAGTCGTCATCCTTGATGCACAAATCGTCAGTGGGGATCCACTCAGGCAACGGTTGAAGCAAAGACCGAGCCAGAACCTGAGGACCCGACCCCTCTAGGGAGGTGGCCAGAGTGCCCTCTCGTTCGCTCAGCATCTCCGCGGCGGCCAGCCTGCAAAGAGGACCGGTACGGCACCGAATTCACCGAGACATGCCAAGACCTACCGTAACTTCTGCACTTCTCGTAACCGTTCCACAGCTTTCCTAAGGACCAGTAACTTCTCAGTGGACGCAGGGCCAGCTCCTAGTGGTACGAGTTCCTGACCAACCCAGCACGCATGCACATCCGACCCTACACTCATACCTACCCTCAAGAAGGCTGAGGCGAGATCAGCAGGTGTCTGCACTTCCACCCAAGGGGGCGTCTCCGGTCTCCGAGGAGTACCCAGAGGCGAGGCCGCCACCGTTTTGGAAGTGTGCGACCGACCTACTGATGGGGATCTGCTCCATGCGTATAAGCCTAGCCTCACCGCTTTGACGCTGACGATGATGCGCTGCTCTCGTGGACATCCCTGGCGAATTGTAGTCCTTCATTTCCTTCACTGCCCGCTGCAACTCCTTCCTAGTAAACGTACTTTCGATTTCGAGAGCTTGCCGGTAGACCTCAGCGTCAGGTTGAATTATAAAGCTGCCTACACAGACACACCAAACCCCACTCCCATGACCGACCACAGTGAGAAGCGACTACTATTGGGGGCCATCTTGACGAACTGTGACCAAGGAATGGGGCATCCTGGTCGCCATTTCTCCCTGGGCTCATCAACAGGGCGACTGATGAGATCCCGCAGTCTGCCCGTTCCCAGGTTTCTGAGGATGATCGTCACGAGTTCAATTCCTCCCAATGTAGTTTTTTACGCTAAAGCGAAGGCGCGTATCTCCTTGATGTACTCAGCCCTTGTACAACGTTCACAGGTGCATGAGCTCGTGCATACTGGACATGTCCAGGCCTTACCTGAACAGACCACTCAAGGCCCCATTGACGCCTCCCGACCCACCTTCAACGGGGAGCTGGTGACTGTACATGACAAGGCATGTGTGGCAGAAGCGTCTATGGCAAGGGGTGACGCCAGGCCGACCTACAGAGGAGTCCTGAGAGGGAGAGACTACGACCCTAGCTAGTGGTACCCTCGAAGGCATCATGGAGCACGCCAGAGCACACCGACATCCGTGACTTCTGTCGAGCATCGAGGTTGATGAGGCCTACAGTGGTAGCAATGATCACATCAGGACTAGGGGGTATTCCCTACTAGTTGGCGGCAGTCCTAATGCCTCTCTCCTCGCTGCCTCGGCAGCAGCATTAGAGATGGCCTTCGCTGACTGACGGCAAATGTGGCAGAATGGACCTGGCCAGCTATGGTAACCCATCCTCAGTGAAAGAGAGTATGCACATGCTCAACAACATGTGTTGATGACAATATGAAAATTCTAAGGAAACTTTGGAGAACTATTGCTGATTTCTGTGCATTTCTACTCGAATTCGTATGTAAACCTCTATAGTGAGTGAGGAAACTCGTGAGCTCAGCTGAGGAAAGCGAACATATATTCCAACACTGATCGTACACCATCCCGAGGGTGAGAGAATATGCACATACTCAACTACACGTGTAGGCGATGATGACGATGAGGAAATTCTGAGAAGTTTTTAGGAAATTTTCGCCTATTTTTGTACACCCAGTCGCGTGTATATTTCAATTTTGTAGTGAGTACTTCTGATCTCTGCTGCGAAAACCCAACATACATTTCACCAATGTTCACCTCTACCAGTAGAGGCTTACCTATCTGTGGCAGGTCCGGAAGGCCCTCCAAGGTCTCTCCACTACGACTCGGCACGCTAACATCATCATCAGCGTCATCGGTCTCCTCTGAGCTTGTCAAGGTCCTAGTCGTGAGAGAGAACTGCTGTATGTCATCAAAGCCCGTCATGAAGCGCTCCTGGCGATCTCGAAGGTATCTGCCATATAGTAGTGGTAGTAGCGTCCTATGAACAGCAGACTATTACTGTATGACCACATTGCGTTCGATAGCCCGGGCCCGTATCCTGCTACTGCAGTCGTCGAACACTACTATGATTTTCCCCTCATGCCTGGACCACTCCTCAGGGGCTGCGAAGAGCTCCTCTACACTGTCTATCCAATGGTCGTATCTGACCACCCCGACCATGAACCGGACCAGACCCTCCATCCTGGTCCTACTCCAGTCTGATCACATGGCTAGCAGCAGCCTCCGAGAGTATTCTCACGAAGCCACGAGTCGACTTTCCCCGCTCCTCCTCAGCATCTACGTTGGCGTTTATATTGCGCAGAACATAGCGGCCAAGTTCACGGTTGGACTAAAACAGTTCGAACGCTACCCAGAGCCAGCATCCTAGTCCTGGTTAGTACGGTGAAGGTCGACTTGAGGTCCTCGTAAAGCTGCCTGAAAGTCATGTTGCTGAAGCGATTCCCTTGCGCCCTATGAGAATTCTTGGACGGTTCGGAGTCGCCCTACCAATGACCATTGCGACTCGCGAGATTGAGGCTGCCTACCGAGTCACGGCTGTGAGAGCGACCTCTGATGACAGGTTCCGAAAACAGCGTAGGGCCGGACTCGGGGGGCATGTACGTCCCGCCCAGCACCGAGGAAGGGTCGGCAGATGATGAGGACGATGATGCTGATAAGGATGCAGGAAGGAGTAATGGTCCCTCGGGCGGCAGGGGTGGAGGAGGCTGCAGTAGACTACACCCTTGGGAGCTCATGAACCCGGGCCTGACCAGAAGGAGCACCATGATGAAGGGGAGCCCCAGGGACCACTGACTACATCAGCGGCGAGTAGGCGCTGAAGGGATCACTGAGGGGCTGCTTTCTGGTCCGCATTGGTCGGTCTGTGGCCCGCACATCGAATGTGTGGTCAGGACCAGTCAGCTGTACTCGAGGGAAACTCTTATTCAGCTCCTTGATGTCCCTAGGTGGGGATATCCCTAATCTTGAATAGACCTACTAGCATCAACCAGTGTGTCGGTAGTCCATACCCCTGCTACTACTACCCCTAAGGCCTCTTCCTTTGGTGCTATCGCATCCTCCAACGCCCAGTCCCAACTATAGTGGATCTGACAGACCCAGCATGCCAATACTAGCCCACCTAGATAGGCCCTCACCGTAGTGGACTGTGCCATGACCTGTTCGGCCCTCGCTAACTCGGGTAGGCTCGGCGATGACTGGTCACCAGTATCCTCCTCCTCCATGAGTACTGAGCACTGCCAACTCCCCACCAGCTCAGCTCTCCTGCTACTACCATCCACACTGTCTTCCTGCTCTTGGCCACCTTCCCCCCGGAGCCACTCCCTTAAAAGCTGTGCCATCCGACGATCCTGGGGTAGGAAGAGCAGTTCTAGGTACCGCCACATTAGCTCAGGACTATCAACCTAAAAGTCAAACACTTGAACATAGGATGCCAGAAGGCTCATTCCTAGCACTACATTTTCAGCTAGAGTATCGGCAGCTGCCAGGTCCTCCAGAGTGACCTCCTCCTCCCCTAGACACACCGCTCGAGCATCTTTAACAGTAGAGACTGCCGCCCCCTTAGACGACGCCTTCCTCGGTCCAGTGGCCCCTGAGCTCGACTGTGATCCGGGGACCTCTGCCCCTCTAGGTGCGAGGAGTAAGAAACGCTCTAGCCGAGAGAGTGGACCGTCAGTTGGGGGCTTCCCAGGGGGTTGCTGTTGACCTTTCATAGAGGCTCTCGCTTCCATAACGAAGCTAAGAACCAGAAGCGCTATGAACCCATACCCCTATAAACTAACACCACACCTTTCCCAACTGTCACCAACAAGAGACCAACATACATATCATCATGAACCAGTGCTGGCCGCGGCCGAGCACTGAAGTGCCTTGGCTTCTAGGTAGGTGGCGATGTACTCTATCGGGTCGTCAGGATCGACATTACAGAGCTCCATCAAACCCTCTGTCAAGTCTGGTATCACATAACTGTCCACACACTACAAGGCAACTGTCCACGATAGGCATCCTACTCAATGAGGTATTCCCTTAGCGGCTTCTTCTTGATCTCACAGACCTGCACTCATCGATTAGGCCTACCGGTCTGGACTACTACTACTACCTCCTCCCTCCACATGGCGATGGCAGCCTCCCTCTTCACATCCATCGCGGCCTCTCTGCTAGCCACTTCGCTTTCTTCAGAGATCCTCCTTATCTCCTCAGCCTGTGAAATGGTCCCCTACGCCTCAGTAAGCCCATCAGTCACCTCCTCTGCTGCGAGGCGATCCTTCTCGTGAGAAGCCATCGCCTGGCGCACCTCTTTTGACACTTCCTCCTGGGATGGTAGGAAATTATAAGGTCTTCCTGACCCGAGCCCCTCCCCACACCATCAAGCCCTGCCCTCACCGTTCCTCTCGATGTAGCTACGCAAAGCTTCGAACCTCATAAGCTCCTTCATACGGTCATTCCCTGTTGACTCCGATGTGTCAAGAGTGAAGACCTCCACACCAAGGTCCTGCCATAACCCCATGGTCCAATCTATCTTCCATCTTGGCCCTACCTGTAATAGGACATCACAGCCGTCCTCCTCTCCTCCTCTACCCAATACCTAGAACCGAGGGCCAAACTGAAGCTGCGAGAAGGAGCCACCCACAGTGAAGTGAATTGCACTGTGAGGGATGCGGCCTCGGCAAGGGACTGGTCTTGTCCTCTCTGCTGGGCTGGTTTCGGGTGCAGAATCGTTATCTGCGGCTTCCTGAACAGGAGCCGCAGTAATACCAATGATCCCAAAGATTAGGATCACCCCCTCCTTCTGGTCCTCAGCTTCCTCACGCTCTACAGGGACGCTGTCAAAAAAGAGAGCACGAGCTTCGTCCATTGTCGAAGGGAACCTGGAGAAGGTCGCGGGTTCGATCCCCGGTAGCGGCATTCATAACATCGCCCACCCGTCAAGGACCCATCCACGATATTTGCACTCCTTCATTTCAATCCCATAGCATCGTAATATATCAGCCTTCTGGTCCTCAGTCATCGGCCCCTCTAACCCCACTCCTGATCGATCCTCTCGCGAACCACCCACAAGACTTCTCCCACTTCTGCCCAGCTCCATAGCAGATTCTAGACTGACCAGTGGTATCTGCCAAGTAACTTTTCCCTCCACCTTTCAAGTGCCACGCAATCACATTATAATGCTCAGCTATCTTCCTGGCAAAATGAGTCTTCTCACATTGCGGAGCACCATACACCAGCACGCGGATCTGAACCCAAGGCCCTCGAGGGTCCTCATTTCCTTATCCCCCCCCCCCACAGGCTCAGCTCCTCGGGCTTTACAGAACTCTGCAGCTACGTCCTCTACTCTGCGCACAAGCCCTTCTCGACAGTGCCTGCAACCTGCCTCAGCGTTAAATCCTATAATTCTTACCAATGGAAATCGGGATGCCTGAGCAACTCCGACTGGTGTACTTTCACGTCAAGTGCTGCCCACCCAGGGCAACCATGAGCCGAGGCTTGCCTGGAGCACGGCGTGTTCGCTTGCACGCATGCACATCCCGTTCAGGAGACAGGTGCTACATACGTGATGGGCTCGTCACGACCAAGGCCTAGCATCTCCTCAGCGACAGCTCTAACGATATCCTCTTGAACGTCTTGAGCGTCGTCAACGGCCATTATGTATTTATCTGCCCCGCATAGTAGTGACGCTCTCAAGAGGTCAGTACTACTCAAATGAGGGTACTTCGGTCCCTCTCCAACTGCTTCTACTTCCTCCTTGGACTCCTCCTCCTCTTCCTCTTCCACCACCACAGGCTAAGCCAACAGGGATGCCTTTACCATACCACAACACTGCTACTTTAAAAGGATCCTCTTCCCCCGCAGCGGTAGCCGAAGCTCTGGCGTATAATGCCTGTACAGTAACCATACCATCACTCGAGAACATCAGAAAAGCTCTACCCTGACCACTCCAGCCACATCCACCATGTGAATCATCGGTATGTGATTTTGCCCAGTGCCATAGACCTTGAGGAAGTCCTTCCGACCGATCCATGCGTTCCTATGCCGGACCAATCGAGAGCCCCCCCCAAGGCGGAAACGCTGACTTGAATAGATCGTAAAAGATCCCTGTAAGTTCCCCAAGACCATACAGCATTCCATGGCAAATCACATACGATGTAACCTGACCAACAGCCTGGCCTCCATCTAAAACCATGACCGATTACATTTTCCTTATCATTCAGGGCAAGTACTCTATCCTCAAGAGCTGACCATTCAGAAGGCCCTCCAGGACGGGGTAGACGTGCTTCGAATTGACCAACGTCACATGGTGACACCTCTGTTACATCGATGTTAGTGTAACCACCTCGGCTCCTACTACCTTCACCCCCACTGAAGCCACCCCATACTTCAACGCTGCTGAGCATGACAAAGCTGAAGGGTTGGGCGAATTGGTGCTCCTAAAACGTTTTCTGGATAGAAGAGGGGATACCGTAAATAGATCACCTCTGCTCGCATGATTATGTTTTCCACCTCCCACACTTCACATTCGCTCAGACAGTACACTGCCATATCGCATTCCAGAATGGTCTTGGCAAGTATCTTAGGTTCCTCATGATAAGATTCACTTTAAGCCCCCCTCATTCTACCTTCGGCTTTGTTTTAGACAGAACCCTTTGGCACGATTTCGGCTTAGCTCCAACCTGACCACCCAAATCACAGCGTACTTGGCCGTCTGTTTCCCCAACCTCCTGCCCCAGAGGGCCGTCAAGGTCGGCCAGGGTCCCTAGGATACGATTAAGACCAGCTTGTTGGTCATCATCAGCAGCATCAGCCTGCTTAGGTCGCCTTAGATGACCACTCAGTGTCCTCCCGAGTGGAGCATTGACGTTATTGATGAAGATGCGCATCTTGGGTATTATCCTGAGGTTCGAATATTGACTATGGGCGTGTCACTCAACACCAACGCATATTGGTTCTAGTCTCTAGACTACAAGGCAATGGTGGCTATATTATCATTATGATCATCATCATCGTTATCATCTTTCCCTCCGACCAAGTAGTCGGTTTTCAAGGCAGCTTCCACGTACAAGGCAGAGTAGAAGGCTAACACAGTTTCGGAACCCAGCGAAAGTCGTGGTGGCAACGGAGATTGTTGCTATTGCGGCAAATAAGGGTAGCGATACGAGACGAACAATAAGAAGAAGAGGAAGAAGACAAATAAGGAGGAGGATGAGAATACTACGTTTCAGAGGAGTGGCAAGAGTAGTGCAACCGAAGCAGGCCAGGACGTTACCCTCGTAAAATCCACAGATGAAAGATATCTTTTACGTTACCACCGAACCACCACTGCTACCATCAGTGGCTTCGGCAGGATGCGATGACGTTGACGATAATCCTAAATTAGGACGATTTCTCGAATCTTCTCCACCGCCGACCACAGCCGAGCTATTGGTACTAGAAATACCATCCTCAGCGGCTTCCGGGATGGATATCTCAACGCCGTCCTCGTCGCCTCTTCCAGCTGAAGCCGCTATGGCTGCCGCTTGTTGTTGTGTAAACATAAGCTGTTGTAATACACTCAACTGTTGGGCTTGTAGTACAGACATTTGGTGGATATTAGCCGCAAGTAGGGCTTCAGTATCTCGATCTGCAGCACCACGACCAGCCTCCTGTCCAGCTGAGCTACTCGACCCTTCTGCACCAGACGATGGGCCCATCTCGAGGACCGAACTCCCATTGTCAGTCCCGGGAGCGGCTGGCCAGGCAGCAGCAGAAGCTGCGGCAGCTACCATGGTAGGGTCGGCCTTGTCGTCAACAACAACACCGTGTTGGGAGGCGCCTGCACGCTGTAAATCCTCGTACTCCTCCGAATCTCGTATCCTGTTCTGTTTCCGTGGCTGCTTGGGCGGTGGGGGTAGACCAGGCTGTCTATTGGGACGTTTCCGCCGCTTCATGGCCCGGACCATCTCCAATACCTCATGATGAGGCCGAGTATTCTTCAACATAGTCATATGTAAACGGTCGCTTGCCGCCTGCTGTATGGTATGCCGTACAGGACCCTTTAACTGCTTACGTAAAAGCCTCACACTAGCGACCCAACCACGCCCTTCTCGGCACACTCCTCGGGGCAGGACCGAATCGTCCTCGGGCCCCAGCTGTTGAATAGCGGCCAAGTCGTGGATGGCCTGGACGATCTCACCCGGATTGTCAGCAGTGGCCAAATAGTCGGCCCAGCCAGGAGGCAAGCCAGCGGCAGCTGCCATGGCGGCTGGGCTTTCAGGGGACAAATGATGAGTAGTAGCTCCTGGGGGAATAGGCGGTGGTGGAGGGAAGAATCCCGGACCGAACCCTGGGGGGATCGGCGGGAAAACCATAGCCGAAGGGTCAAAGGCCGCCCACGGCGGAGGCATACCGTCTCTACCTGGGAATTCAAAGGCAGGGACCATCCCACCAGCAACCATTGCTTCCTGCTGTGCCTGATAGTTCTGACCGTCATCTGGCTGAGGCATCATACCGGTCGGGTCGAAAACGGCACTGGCCGCCGCTGCTGCTGCTGCTGCCGCGGCTGACCCGCCATCATCAGCAACACTTCTCTCAGCCATGGTTAGTACTAGGGTTACCACAGGTGATGAGTGTTGGAAGTAAGGAGAAGGAGGATAAAGAACTGAGAGTGGTATGAAGACTCGAGCCCAACCAAAGCAAATGGTAAGCGGCAATGGAAGCAGCAGTAGGATAGGAGACTATATCGTACACTATCATTACTACCAGGCACAGGAACGTTCCGATGCGCGACGCGCTTATACACCATGAACCTGAAACGATGCCCAGTATCTAAGAAGCTTGACTCCAGGTCATCATAAACTTGCCTTAACGAAATCTTTTTCGGCAATACCCTCGTGGACCAAGAAGTCTCCTACCAACTTTCGCTTGTCCCCTTGGATCATAATGACCTTGCCGAACTCGGGGTCTTCCGTAATACTGCCATTGCAATTGAACTCCTGTGAGAAGGTTTGTGCACTTCTGGGGACCGCCCCTCGCTCCTCTGCTACCTTTTTGAAATGCTTAAGGATTTTCTTGGAGCTGAATTGTTTCGGTAGACCCTGGATGATGGTCAGACTCTTCCTGCCATTCCGCTGTTGGTTCCGGATATCTACACTCACACATAGGCTCTATGAACCCGGTCTTAAATGGTAGGCACTCCTTTGTTCAATGGCGGCTATATGACTACCACCCCACATCACCGATTCCCGCGCGCCACTAAATTATTCCGCGATAAAACCTTATCCTGCTACCCAGAAACCTAATATCACCCTTTTCGCCCTAGGACTGCCAAGCAGAGCACTGACGTGACATGGGGAAGGCATTCCCCGTCCGACCAAAGGCGGGTCTGTTGCCGCGACCGTTACAGTACGACGATCCCCGATAAGCCCATTATTACGAATATAATTCTGCTGATGATCATCATCCTGCTGATCTCCAAATAGCTCCTGTGCAGGGTTCATTTACTGCGATGGATCAAGATAGAAGACCGATAACAGGTTTCTCACGAGGTGACGTGCGACTGCGTGCAAAATGCACGAAAATTTTAGCGGAGCGAAGTGGTGCATGTTTACACGTTTTCATTATCATTTCATTCGATGATGCGCTCTGCTGTAGGTTACTTTGCGTACCGTAAGATCATCAATTCCTGTGTCCGGGGCACCTATGCTACCCCAGTATGCCATACCAACATCAATTTTGCGAATTTACGGTATGGGATAATAAACTTATCAAGTGTTCGAGACATCAATTTGATCTGCATACCTGAGGGAGTTACCCCGAATTCGCAGTTGATGACGCTAGTTGCGCTTTGGGGCAGGTATGCCATAGCAGGCGAAATCGCTCTTCTATGCTGACTCATTCTTACCTGGTACTCGTTTTATTCCGCTAAGCTACACGAGGATGGCATAGTTGCCCCAGTCATAGATAATAATCCTACTAGGACATATTTTGGGATGGCATACTTGTCCCCACCCAGAGAGATTAATCCTACTAGGACATAATTTGGGATGGCATAGTTGCCCCACCCAGAGAGATTAATCCTACAAGGACATATCTTGGGATGGCATAGTTACCCCTCCATAGTGATCAATCCTACTAGGACATAAGTTGGCATGGCATAGTTGCCCCACCCAGAGAGATTGATCCTCCTAGGACATATCTAGGGATGGCATAGTTGCCCCTCCATAGTGATCAATCCTACTAGGACATAAGTTTGCATGGCATAGTTGCCCCACCGGATCTATTTGACCGCACTAAGACTAATCAATAATAAGACAACTAAGGCTTCGCTTCGCCGATCCCCGACCTCAGCCTTTGCAATGGCTACTTTTGCTGCACTGACTTGTAGACGATGGGCGTCTATAGGTGGACGACTTAAGGGTGCTCGAGGACTCAGTACCGTCCCTAACGACGGTATGGTCATTATGGACGGCAACACAGCAGCGGCACATGCGGCATACGCTATGGTCGAACAGGTGCTATCGTGCCAGCTATCAGAAGTAACAAGGTTTTTTACCTTAGGCCTTCATTTACCCGATATCGCCGTCTTCGCCAATGTGTGAGTTGGCTGCAGAATGGGCAGCCCAGGGACGTAAGAATGTCTTTGGTACCACTGTCAATGTAGGTTTCAACCCGTAGCTGTGGTCTCAGTGGTACCTTAGGTGACTCAAATGCAATCCGAGGGAGGTGCTGCTGGAGCCCTCCATGGCGTCTTGGACCGAGGAGGTCTGGCCGCTACCTTCACGTGTAGTCAAGGCCTTTTGTTAATGATCCCTAACATGTAATGCTATCGTACATGACATATAACTACGATGGCTTCTCCAAGGTACATCATCTCTGGCCAGCTCTCCCCCTGTGTTTTCCATGTCACTGCCAGGGCCCTGTCCAAACACGGCCTTTCTATATTCGCCGAGCACACTGATGTCATGGCCGTCCGGCAGACAGGGTGGGCCATGCTCGTGGCCAACACGGTGAGTCCCGATTTCCCTAGGCCCCACAGATGTCCTGAGTTTTGCCATGGGGGTTAGGTCTGTTATTCAGGTTCAAGAATGCATGGACATGTCTGCCGTGGCACACATTGCTACGCTCCGCTCGAGCATACCATTTTTACACTTTTTCGATGGCTATCGGACTTCTCATGAGCTTAACAAAATTGTCCCCATCTCTTATGGTAGAATGAGGACCGCCTGTGTGCCCTCCAAGATCCAGCCCTAGATACTCTGGGTTCGCTCATGCCTTGGGATGCTGTTACAGCTCTTCGTGAAGGCTCTCTCAACCCTCAGAGACCCCACGCTCGAGCCTGCAACACCGGCACAGACATCTGGTTCCAGGGCATGGAAGCTTCCAACAGTTTCTATGACGCTACTCCTGGCATAGTACAAGGTGTTCTGGATGATATCTCGAAGGTTACTGGAAGAGGCCCTTATCGGCTCTTTGAGTACTCTGGGGATCCTGAAGCACGGCATGTAATACTGGCCATTCGCATAATGGGAAAATATGTGTTCATCTCACCAGGTGGTCGTTTGTATGGGAAGCGCCTCCTCAGTTCTGGCTGACTGTGTACCACCTGGCCATGGTGCACTCAATGTCCGCCTCTATCGTCCGTGGAGTCCTAACGATTTCCTAGCCAGCCTTCCCAGTACAGTAGAAAGGGTCACAGTGTTGGACCGTACTAAGGACAGTGCTGCGGTTGGTGAACCCCTCTTCATGGACGTGGCCACATCCTTCGTCACTGGCAATACAGAAAGGTAGTAGAGATGTCCATTATGACATAGTCGGAAATTCAGAATACAATTAGGTTCCATCACATGCCGCTAGTTCTTGGTGGTCGCTATGGTTTGGGGTCCAAGGATCTCACTCCAAAGGACGCCATGGCTGTCTTTCATAATGGCGAAGTGGATGAGCCCAAGCGGAAATTCACTGTTGGAATAGTTGACGATGTTACACAGCTGAGTCTCCCTCCCGTTTCACTCGATAAGCTCCCTAAGGCTGACGATAGTGTCACTGAGTGTGTGTTCTTCGCCATGGGCTCTGATGGTACTGTAAGTGCTAATAAGAATGCTATCAAGCTGATTGGTAGTAATACCGATCTCTATGTCCAAGGGCATATAGTGTACGACTCTAAGAAGGCCGGTGGAGCTACGGTCAGTCACCTAAGGTTTGGCGGCAAGCCGATAAACAAGCCGTACGAGATCGTGGAAGCTGGGTATGTTGCCGTCCATGAACCCACATGGCCCAAGAAGTTCCCCAAGGCCATCATGGCTAAGCTGAGACCTGGTGGCACCCTTGTGTTGAACTCCCATTGCACGACGCCTGCTGAGCTCGAGAGAATACTACCACCTGAGATGCTACGAGCCATCTCTGAGAAGGATGCACAGCTGTGGGTCGTGGATGCCTTGGCTATTGCTAAGCGGTACGGCCTTGGGAAGCACATTAATAACGTGATGCAGGCAGTGTTCTTCAAGCTCGGCTTTGACTCTTCGATCCTGGACTATGAGACCAAGGCTTTGCCCATGCTCTTGGATAGTCTGGCCAAGACCTACTCCAGGAAAGGAGAGGAGACCATCAGACGGAACAGTGAAGCCACGAAGGCTGCCACTACGTCCTTGATAAGGATAGAGGTACCTCAGGCATGGGCCACTGCAATAGCTGACTCGACGGCCACTGGTTCCTTGACCGGTGACCAGGCGTACGATAAGCTGTCGTACCGTGTGGGCCGGATGGAAGGCAGCGAGCTGCCTGTCAGTGCCATTGACGTCCGAGGCAGATACCCTACAGGTATGACCAAGCACGAGAAGAGAGGGATAGCCCCTATGATCCCAATAGTCGATATGGACAAGTGCACACAGTGCAATCTGTGCTCTGTCATATGCCCTCATGCCGCTATAAGGCCCTTTCTCTTGGACACAGTTGAAAACGATGCTGTCCCCACTGAGACTAGGCCGGCCAAGGGAGGTTCTGAGGTCCAAGGCTTCCATTACAGGATACAAGTAACTCCACTGGACTGCACTGGCTGCGAGGCTTGCAGTTGGGCCTGTCCTGATGACGCCCTGACAATGGTCAATGTGTCCACTCTTGGGGACGACCCTGTGGTGGCTCGCGAGACTGATAATTGGAACTATCTCATTAACCTACCGGAGCGGTCCACGCCTAGGCACAACTCTCGAGAGACAGCAAGGCAGTCCCAGCTGTCGTTACCAATGCTGGAGTTCTCAGGAGCCTGTGCTGGGTGCGGAGAGACGCCCTATGCGAAGTTGGTCACTCAGCTCTTTGGGGAGCGCATGGTTATTTCCAACGCCAGTGGGTGTAGTGGTGTTTGGGGAGCTGCTGCCGGGTTCAGCAGCTACACTAAGAACGACCGTGGGGAAGGGCCGGCGTGGGGCCGCTCCCTGTACGAGGACGCTGCAGAGTATGGCCTTGGTGCCGCTACTGCTACGCATACCAGGAGGCAGTTCCTCAGGGAACAAGTCGCAGATCTGCTAACCAAAATCGGTCCGGACTCGGGTTTGTCCCCATTGACGGTCGACCTTCTGTACCGGTGGGTGCATGGTGGTTGGAAGGACTCTGCTATCAGTCAAGACATTGCTCGTGTACTGCCTGGTCGCCTTAGACAGGAATTGGAACTCATTCCAGAGGGAGAGCTCCGAACCAGCATTGAAAAGGTCCTCTCAGTTGGTGGGGAGTTTGTGAAGGTCAGCCATTGGATCTTCGGTGGTGATGGCTGGGCGTACGACATTGGCTTTGGCGGGCTGGACCACGTCCTGGCCTCGGGCACTGATATCAATGTTATGGTCCTGGATACAGAGGGCTATGCTAATACTGGCGGCCAGAAGTCCAAGGCCACGCAGATCTCGGCCGTTCAGAAGTTCGCCACTGATGGGTACAGGCGACCTAAGAAGAACCTAGCGGAAATGTTCATGGTAGAGAGAGCACTTGCTATGGTCCAACGCTGACGTGAGGTTCATTTAGGGTTACGGTAATGTCTATGTGGCCAGCATTGCTGTTGGTGCCTCACCGAGCCAGTCTGTGAAGGCCCTCATCGAGGCGGACTCGTGAGCAAAGGTCCATCCTGTCATGCGGTGTAATGCACGGCCTAGGTACGCAGGGCCGTCCATTGTCCTTACCTATTCCCCATGTATCGAACACAAGATCAAATTCCCACGGGGTCTCAGTAGACTGGCTGACGAGATGACCAAAGCCGTCAACTCTGGGTAAAGGCCTTACTTGCAGCTTGGTCTACGGGCCTGTAGGTATTGGCCTCTCTTCCGCTACGACCCTGCTAAGATCTCGGCTGGAGTCAACCCATTCGTCTTGGATGCCCCTAAGAAACTAATTGGGAAGGTACATGACTTCACAGGTGAGTACCTCTTGTCAACACCATCTTACGTCGAGTAATAATATCATCTCAGAATTGGAGGACCGGTTCGGTGCTCTGGAGAGGACCCATCCTGATGATGCCAGAAGGTTGGCGGAGGAATTGCAGACCCACGTCACGAACAAGTCCGTTGGTCTGCCGTCTCGTCACCATGGCAGACGTTTTTGTTCAGTTTCGAGGCCCTTCGCCGTCGTCATCTGGAGGGAGCTCGAGCCTCTACTATGCTCATTCGCGTGGGGGTATCCCCGACCGTGGGAGGAGGCCAGGACGATGATGCTACTGCCTGTCATAGAGTGCTTATCGTCTACGCTTCGGACACGGGGAACACGGCCGAGCTGGCCAACAGGTGGTACTGTTATCAATGGTCGGATAGTGATGTAGTGGTAGTAGGTTCGGCAATATGTGCCGATCTAGAGGGGTGGCAGTAGATGGGGTATTGGACATGTCAGAGGTCGACTCTCTGTCCCAGCTACCAACAGGGACCGGATCCACTCTGGTAACAGACCGGCATTCGGCTGATGTTGGTCATGTGTCTGTATAGGTGGTGATGACCAGTACCGTCGGGGAGGGCGATCTTCCTCCAACAGCAGTGGCCTTCAAGGCAATGCTTGACTCGGCTGAGGAGGGGTCTCTAGCTACTACACGAGTGATGTTATTCGGTCTGGGGGATAGGTAGTTTCTATACTTCTTCCTCCGAGTGGACTTAGCGTCTTAGCTCATACCATCATTTCTGTGGAGCTGCTGTGGCCCTGGAGAAGTCCCTCCAGAGAGCAGGGACAGTGAAGGTTGCCCCGACAGGCCTCGGTGACGACCAAGCTGAGGATAAGTAGGAGCATCTCATGGGGACTCATGGTCTCACTCTATGGAAGGTTTGAGACTGGGTTCGAGCAGTGGACGTTTACCGCATGGCCGGCCCTTGATGCCCCACAGGACGAGATTATTGAGGACCCTACGGCCGTACCCCCGTCCTGTTATTCGGTTATGGAAGTTGCCCCTCCACCCATTGAGATTGATAAGGGGGCGCTTCTAGCATCGTCCTCCCCACCAGGTAGACATGAAGCTTCCGTTGGGGAAGGATCGTTTGTCGGTTCAGGCACGTTCCCACTTAGAGTGAGCTCTAATACTAGGTTGACCCCAGAAGGCTATGACCGTACAGTTAACCATGTTTGCCTGGGGGTCTATGAGGATATTGACGGCCGTTCCCATCACGACCTTTCCTACCACCTCGGTGACGCTTTGGCAGTGTAGGGCCACTGTATTGGACTTGCCTCCCAAATCGACACTCCTCAGATATCCCTCTAATGACCCCAAGACGGTCACGGATTGGCTCTTAGCCTATGGCCTGGATCCGAGGGCTCACGTTAACGTTGCTAGTAGTATATGGTTCGTTGATGAGCTTTCATGGACGTATGTGTAGCACCCCCGGGTGACGTTCGGCGAGCGGCCTTCTTCCGAAGTGGTCCCGTTTCGGTTAATAGTATATTCGCTGAACTTCTGGATATTTTTGGAAAACCTACTGGACGCTTCTATCGTCAACTTGCGAGGTATAGATTAATATTATGATCCTCCTGCCAGACTTCAGCTGTAGATTCGCCACTGACCCCAAGGAGAGACAGCAAATAGAGGAACTCTCTTCCAATCCGGCTGCAATGGCCCCCACCATCGGCGAGGCCCTTCTTAGTTTCAACTCTGCAAGACCCAGTAGGGCTTTCACCATAGCACCATGACTGATGATGGTTCCTCGTCCAGGTCTCGAGCATTTGCTGAACTTGGTACCTATCATCCGTCCTAGACTGTGAGTGTGACACACTCGGTAGGGTGAGAGTCGTCACCCCATAGGTACTCTATCGCGTCATCGCCACGTCTAGACGGCGGTGGCCGAGTCGATCTACTGGTGGTCCTTGCTAAGTGGTCTGACCAGAGCGGCTCTCTCCGTAGTGGTCTCTGTAGTACATTCATCAATACCCGTTTGAAAGCTGGTGAGGCCAGTTTCAAGATCATCATGGATGCCCAGTGTATCCTCAGGTGACGTCTTGAGATGCGGTGTAACGGCTGGGACGTTCACCCTGCCTACTTCAATCACCACGCCTATGGTCATGACCGGCCTGGGCACGGGAATAGCCCCCTTCCGAGCCTTCGTACAGGACCGGGCCATCAGGGCCAAGTTGACTGATGAGAAACCGGGTCCAATGATAGTGTAAGTTTGTAACTGCACTCATGGTGAGTATCCTCCAAGATACTATGGAGCCCGGCATAAGGCAAAGGACTTCGCCTTCGGGGAGGAATTCGAGGGTTACGCCCGAGCTGGTATTGTCACGGAAGTGGTAGGCTAAGTGGGGATGCTGGTAGGGTTCGGACAGGTTGTCGTGACAGGTCGGAGCCTTCAGCAGAGACCAACCAGAGAAGGTTTACGTTCAGCATAAGATAGCACAAGACGGGGAGAGACTCTATGACCTTCTGGTCACAAAAGGAGGGTGGGTCTAATGCTCCTGTACACTTTCTCTTGAAGTTCTCTCACTGCTGTATTCAGTTATTTCTACTTGTGCGGCCAAGCAGGGCATGTCCAGCAGGAGGTTGAAGATGCTGTATCATCGGCGCTCGGCTCTCGAGAGGAGCTCGATCGGATGATTCATGAGAGGCGGTATTCTCTCGAACTCTATTAGTCGTATTGTTCGAGTCGCTGGCAGCATACTTAGCGCTAGTGGTCATCGAGTTTTTGAATTGTTCTATCATAAACATTATAACATCACGAACTGTTTCGCATGTTTGTCATCCCTCACAAGGTTGAGTTTTAGTCCGCAACAACTACCGCCCAAAAATCAGTCAATAACTTCGAATTGAAATGTCTAAAGTTGTTTTCTGTTACCATGGAACGCGAGGAAGAGATTGAGCTATTTGAGTACTCTCGAAGAGGCAACTACGAGGAGGTCCACCGACTGTTGGTTGTCGATAAGTCCGTTAAGCCCGACGACTACGAGGCCTACGATGGCAGCACACCATTCTTGATGGCGTGTCGGAATGGTCACTGTGATGTCGCCAGGTAAGCCACCTTACAAGTGTCCTCATGATTACGTGAGATATCAGATTACTACTGGAGCATGGTGCTAATATTGATGCCAGGACTGAAGATCTGTCCAACTGTCTGGTACCACGCCCTAGGGAGGAAATGGTGGAGACCACTATACTTGCAGATACTTGCGAGTTCCGGTCGATCCCCTGAAACGGTTAAGCTTTTATTGGAAAAGGGAGTTGATGTTAATTATGCTAATGAAGACGGTAATTCTCCTTCTACCATGGATGATGATTCCACCATTGCAGGTGTGACCGCTTTGGAGCTCGCCAAGGAGCACGATAGGAAGGAAGTCGCTGATATCCTCAGAAGTACCATCGAGAGTTGCCTTGGTCTCGTAGGGTTGTTTTAGGTGCGGGAGCTTCCGAGCCCACTGAAAACCGCGAGCTGCCTCCCGCCAAGGCAAGCGAAAAATGGCAGTATGGAGCTTTAGAGTGAACACCATTATGCAGTTACTCGTTTCAACTTCCATAGCACTTGCCACCAATAGATTTGTGTTAATATAGTTTTCAAAAGCAATAAAGGTAGGTAGTTGCACCAATCAGGCCGTAACTATATAGGATTTAATAACAGTCTTTTAACCCATTAACTTCAACCCAAAAATGGTTTGAATCGCGGGAAGGGTATAATACTACAGACAATGGCCTGAGCTGATTCCAGCAACGAACTTAAGACAGTAGTAATAACGTAGTGTACTGAGGTGCCGTTCACATAGTAGCGAAGGCACCACGCTGATGGTCGAACGATATCCTAGTCTCCCGGGCATCTCGGACAGGTGTCTTCGACTCGAGAATGCTGCGATACTCGAAGCGATATGACTGAACAACAACGTAGATGAGACCAACTACGAACCCATGCATGATAATGTCCACCTTGTCCCCTTGAGTGCTCAGTTGGGCTTGGTGCAAAACCATATTGTACTCTAGGATTGCCTCCTGCTGGACCTTCGAGAAGATATCGCGATGTTGATACCTACCGCGAGGAGCTATCACTGTCGTGAATGGGAAGTGACGACCTACACTTGCTTCATGGTCTCCTTGGCATCACTAGATCTACCAGGGCGGTGACTAGCCCGTACCATGGCTCCTATCGACCGGACGAACTCTGCTCGTAATCGTCGCTCAAGTGTTCTGCAGGGCAGCACTCCTCAATAGGATATTGACAGCTTTCTTACTCTTCATTTGGTTGGGTCCATCCCCCATGTGATGGCGTTATCGCCAGCAAATTCGGTTTCGGCTCTTTCTCGTCTTCGTCGTCCTCGCTGGTCACCTCACACTTCAAACCGTCAGGAATGTCATCATCCTTGCATAGCATTGATAGATGCTTCTGGAGGAGTCCAAGAACTCACCTCTAGACCTTCACCGTCGACAATGTCCTCCTCTTCACTGTCCTCTGTCGGGGACTTCAGCGAGGCCAAAGGATCGACGTTGAGGTTTCGCCACTTATTCTCCTTGGCGAGCATCTGCCAACCGTTGGGGATCCACACACCGTCCCAAACCGGTCCTACCAGTGCAGTGAGGTCTTTGCACGCCTTAGTGAACACGAAGTTGTCACTCGAATAAAGGCTGTTACGCTTAAGAACGGTGAAGTCCCAGACGTCGAAAATCGATACCACTCCTTCAGGGGCTTCCAAGACCCCGTCAGGGATGTTCGTGAAGTACCGCTGGTTCAAGACCACCTACAAGGACCATCATATAGCCTTTAAACATCCCCGCTTACCCCCTTGACCAGCTTCTGGGCGACCTCCCTGTTCTCCCTCAGCGTCTCACTATTGCAGTTATAGATGTCCAGTTCATGAGGTGCATCACGTTCGTATGTAAACGTCTTGAGAATCCTAACAGAACAAACACTGTCCCTCCCCGTTGCTCAGGAGACACCTACGACTTGGTGTAGGGTGCTGTGGCCACCGCATCCACACAATGCAAGATCTCCCTCCGCTGTATTGTGGGCTCTCGCATAAACTTATTAAACTTTTCCAATAGCAACTTACACACGAGGAAATACCTAAAACCACCGAGCTCCCACCAAGGCCTTCACATTCCTCTTTCTCACTTCTCGTGTTTGGTCATCCCATCTCGCATTCTGGCGAACTGGGCCGGCCAGTCGACCTCGGACATTTCTGATAGGACGAGCATTCACCAAGACAGACACCGTTGAAGCCTACTAGTCTGATGCGATTCACTCTTGGTCTCACTCGAGCCTTCCGACTTGCCCGATTCCTCTTCACCGTCCTTTGCTTTCTTCATGGGCGGACCCATCTCCTTACTGGACGAGCTGAAGGTATTCCCTGCGGCCCAGGAAGGCCAGCATCACCTCACCTCATCGAGGGCTCTTCCTTCCCCTTAACATCCCCAGTGTGAACAGTGTCATCGGCCACTACAGTGTGCATGAGGTCGACCTAAGTAACGGTCATGAAAAAAGGCGGAGCGAAGCTCTCCCTACCCGTTCAGCTGATGCAGATCCACCAACCGCGGTCTCTTCCCTCCGACGCTTAGCGATCTCCTTAGTCATATGGTTGTACCTTCGCCCCACACTCTCCAGGACCACCATCCTGATGCCTATTGCTTACATCCCATCAAGCTCCCGGTCCCGCCTCGATCGGCCTATGAGCTGCTCATCACCACCATACAGCTGAGGCGAACCACTCATTCCCCTACACTACAGGAAGGCCCCACTACCCTTTTCTTCCTGTCGGCCTCTAGGATGGAGAACGCCTTATAGACCCGAGCCAGACTACGCTTGTCTCCAGCGGCCTTATACCTGCAAAAGTGGAGATCACTGGGCCTAGTCAGGGCGAAACTGAGCCCACCTGTGCTTCAAACTCCTGGCTCGGTCCATGATCTTCTCCCACTCAGCATCGTAGGACCTGAGATACGACCCCTACTCAACGAGGGGGTAGTAATACATACAGATTGAGGGCGCGATAAGCATCCTTCAGCTGAGATGTCAACATAGGGAGAAAGGGAATAACGATACCGACTAATGAGAGCCAATAAGGAAGGCGTTAAAACTAGACAGGGCTTAGAGCACAGCAAAAGATTTGGTAAGTAGTGTCATGAACAAACTCAACGACGATGCGGACGACCAGCTATGTAGCGGTCCAGAGTGATCGACATCCTCTTTCTCCTCAACTGCCGTAATCGCCTCTGATGCAACACTGAATTCTGATTATACTAAGAGTAGTACCATCTTCTGGGCATCGTCAGGTTCGTCCTCATAAGTTGGCCGTATACGGTCGAAGAACTCCTGGTAGTTGATCGGTCGTCTGTGTCGTTGAATTTCCATGCCAAGTACTGATTATTACTCACCTTTCTGGTCTCGGCTGGCCTGACCGTAGTAGACCTTTCAAGGACATCACTTCTCCTTGGTTTCCGCTCGGTGGTCTCCGATGCTCCTAAGCGTTAGAAGAGTTCACTGCTGGTCTATTCTCATGAAATTGAAGATGGTGTGGTACAAGTCGTCGTAATAGTAAAATGACCATTACGCTGGCAACTATATGATTACCAGTGACACTACGATGAAAATTAATAAAGTGGGGTCTATGAAATGAATCCATCTTCTCCGCAAGAATTGCTTATGAGATTATCATAGGATGACCATGTCTCATATGTAGCTTTCGAGGTGCTTCCGCCCAGGCTCCAGTGATTACCCATATAGGCCTTTTAATGGCAATTTCATCCTCATCCTTCTCTTTGGTTAGAGCCTCCACCTCCTCCCTTATAATATCACTAAGGCCCGGCCTCAACAGTGCCTTTCTTATGAACACCTAAAGAGGCCTATGCCGACCATCCCACAGAGTCATCCCAGCTTACAGCTACTCCACGTGGTTCAGGCTCAGGGTAGAGGCTTGGCCGGGGGGCGGGCTTAGAGCTATCCTCGTCATCTGACTCCTTCCTACCGCAAAGACTACCACTAAGGGCACAGGAGAACGAATACTATTACTCCAGGAGTCGGACTACATCTCTTTCAATGTCGGCCTGGTAAATCGTGACCATATACTAGATGGACAAACTGAAGGGCTCGAGGTGCCTCCAACCCTCCTCTCCTAACACAAGTCCTCAAATATATGCTAACAACATAACGATTATGCCGACATGAATCGCATCAAACGTCGTCGATTAGGCGTTGGTCCGTTGCCTTCACACGCCAAATAACAACCGCCGTCCACGAGTTGGCCAACTTTGGTAATCCGGTCCAACTTCTGGTCGTAGAGCTCCCTTATCGCCCCTCCGGTCGGCTTAAGAATATCGGACAATTCAACGTAAATGTTTTTGAGAGAGTACCGCCCAAGATTCGTCTTAAGGTAGTATCGGGTACCATAGTCATGACCGTCTCCGTTCCGGAAGATCCACAAACACTTGGCAGATTCGAAGCTGGGTGGTCGCTTCCATTGCATGAGCTTCCTCGCGGGGCTCGTGGGTCGACCAGTCGACCTTCCTTGTCCCTCGAATCTTGCCCTCGAGCGCACAGGGAAGAATCTATGATCGGTCAGCCTTTGAACGATGTCGTGTTGGTCGAAGTACTGTGAGTAGTACTGACTCGTACAACCCATATCTCGCGAGAAGGAGTGCTCCAACAGATGACGATGCCGAGCCATGGGATCCCCACGGTCTCTGGTCCGACCCCCTATACGACCATTCAAGATGCAACCCTTATGGCCCACCACGGGAGCCACTTTAGAGTACGCTGGCCTTACAGGGCGACCCTCATCCTCTGTACTGTGAAAAGCCCTTACTACGTCCCCCTCGGTGGTGGTAATTTCCAGTACATCCTTATCCCGTACCGTAATTCCGTCACTTCCCCTCACCACCACCTCCTCATGCTCTCTGAGTACTACTTGGTCGCTTGGATGGGTGCTGCCTGGACTAGGATGTTCGGGAGGAGTGGTATGAGCCCCTCCTGAGGATGCCGCCATAGAAATCTAGTGGAAATTATAATACTAATAACAATAACCACGGCCCGACGCCCAACTTCATCATTTCACAAAATAGAAGTCCCGAATTTCCACCTATGAGAGGCCTCGCGTGAGAGCAGTCGAGTCCTTCTACTATGGAAGTCGAATTATGCTCTACCGTATCACGAGGTAGACGTCAATCAAAAACCTCAACGACGCGTCGAACATACTCGAGACGGTACGTAGGCGGAAATCTTGCCAAATCTTGCAAATCTTGCATTTCCTCAACGGTGAATCGACAAGCGTCGTCGTGTTGTCATCTCTCGCACTCGTTGGGAGTTGGCTTTCTCCTTGTGACTACTCCGTAACTTATACGTCTCCATAATGGGTCTCGACGAGCACGATAACGAACTTATCTTTGAGACAAGGTGAGGGGGAGGAGTTTATGCAACTTTCCCATTGACAAATGATTTGTAGCTTTTCCATACTGCTTGTTTTTCTCAGTGAGGATGTGCAAGTACTGGACAGCTTCGATGCTCTTGGCTTGAAAGAGGTACACCTCTAGGAACGGCTTATCAGCTTCTTGGTCTCTTGGTCTCGCATGCGATCACGGAGCGAGACTCTCGCTCCGTGATCGCATAGTCGTTGTGGTCCTATACAGTGAGAGACCAAGGGATCACAACGCTTCAGACGTATCTTAGGTCCCTGATGGTTGGATACAAAACAGCTCCCCTTTAGGACCTTCTCCGTGGTATCTACCAATACGGTTTCGAACGGCCCTCTGCGGTCCAACAGCGCGCCATTCTGCCTATCGTTAAGGGAAGGGACGTCGTAGTACAGAGTCAGTCTGGTAAGCCCTTTACCACTCCTTGAGCAACTCCTGTGAATGCCCTGATCTTAGGTACTGGTAAGACTTGTGTCTTCGCCTTGGGAGCCTTGCAAACCGTGAAGCCCACCGAGAGGGACCCTCAAGTGAGCCCATGGGTCAGAGCTCTCTACCTTACCTTTCCATACAGGTTCTCATCCTTTCCCCTACACGCGAGTTGGCCGAGCAAAGTCAGAAGGTTTGCCTGGCCCTCGGTGACTATATGAACGTTCAAGTACGTATTAGTTCTCCCCCTCCCACCGAAATCACTTGTGCCACAGGTCCACTGCTGTGTTGGTGGTAAGAAGCTCACTGATGACATTCGCGCTCTGGAGGCCGGCGTCCATATCGTCTCGGGCACCCCTGGACGAGTGTATCATATGATATCCCAACGTCATCTTTCGACAAGGCATCTCAAAATGCTGGTCTTGGATGAAGCCGATGAGATGCTGGACAGAGGCTTCAAGGAGCAGGTAGGTTGCTATTACTGATCGTTCTAGGGGGGGAAGTTGTTTTTTGTAGGTTTACGATATCTATCGTTATCTCCCTCCGAGCACTCAATGTGTTCTGGTATCGGCCACCATGCCTAACGAGATCCTGGAGATGACCAACAACTTCATGAACAACCCCTTTAGGTAGGAAGTGGTGAAGGTGTGGTATGTCAGCTTTGGTTTGTAGGGTTCTCGTTAAGCGTGATGAGTTGACGCTAGAAGGTATAAAGCAGTTCTTCGTTGCTGTCGAGAAGGAGCAGTGGAAATTCGATACCCTTTGTGACCTGTACGATACTCTGACCATTACACAGGCCGTCATATTCTGCAATACTAAGCAGAAGGTAAGACGCATCTTAGGTCTCTCTTGGTAAGATTCATTTTAGGTCGATTGGCTGACCAACAAAATGAGAGAGGCCAAGTTCACCGTTGTTTCTATGCATGGTGATATGCCTCAGAAGGAGCGTGATGCTATCATGCAGAAGTTCAGGTGAGTGCTCCCCTTTAGCCCCTCTTGCTCTAACACATGCCGTTCAGATCTGGCCAGGCCCGTGTCCTGATCACCACCGATATCTGGGGTCGTGGTTTGGATGTACAGCAAGTGTCTCTGGTCATTTGCTACGATTTGCCCAATAATCGTGAATTGTAATAATGGCGGAGCGAAGCTCGTTAACCACTATTACTATACAGGTACATTCATCGTATCGGCCGATCGGGTCGTTTTGGTCGTAAGGGTGTTGCCATTAACTTCGTCAAGGAAGATGATGTTAGGATTTTGAGGGATATCGAACAGTAAGTGTTCGAGGAGGAGTACACCGAATTAGCCGACTTGCCTCAGATACTACTCTACGCAAATTGATGAGATGCCGATGAATGTTGCCGATCTCATCTAAGGAGAAATGGTGATAGCCAGAAGGTCTACGTCGTGTTATTATCATTGGTAGTAAAATAGAGGTGGTATTATGAAGAGAAAAGACACTCAGTAATCTACTCTTTTCCCGTTACATTCTACTTGTGTTGAAGTGGACCTGCTGAAATTGATAAATAGCAGTTTTTTTGTAGAAATGATTATCGAGCTGGTCGTAGGAATCGTCGTGGGCATCGCTGTTGGTACCTACCAAGGGGAGAGTAAGTAATTCCTAAGGTCGACTATTCTCATATAGTTTTCTGATAGAATTCAAGCCCTGCTTCGACCCTTGTATAGAAGAGGTAAAACGGTCAAGGATAAGATCGTGGGGAAATACCAACAGTAAGAGGAGTATTCGATCGTTTGCTGGAGTGAATGCCATACCAAACAAATGTGAAATAATAACATTTTCGTACCCTCC